GAGGGATGCAGGATGCCAAAAGTAACTATCGGGACTACGAAATTTGGGGAAGATTTGGATCGGGGTGCCGGACGGCCGATTGAAGAACCCTATTGGGTACCCTCTACGTTCGTTAGACAGGAGGTTATCAATCCCGTCACCAACGGTGCAGCAACTGTATGCAAGTAAAAAAATGAGGATAAAGAGAGAAAATGTGATGAGCAAATGTCTTGACTACGAAATCAAGGCTATAAAACGGCAAACGTCACACTCAGGACTTGGCCATGAGCTACTTGTATTTTCATGTAACCGATAATAGTTTTAACTATTCCAGATCATCTATAAATCTGCACGGGCCAGGAATGCCCCCTTCTCCCCGTCCCAGGTCTATTAAGACCGGCTTTGCCGGTTACTAACCTCTGTGTTATCATAGTGGATGACAACCAATTTCTCATCCTTTGTAAGAAAAGTATCAAACTCCATTCCGTCAGCCTTCAATTCCTTCAAGCTCTTGAAACCATCGATTGTGTTTTCTTGATATTTAGACGGATTGCCATGATGTCCGATCACCAAGGGTTTCTCTTTCTTCTTGTTGTAGAGGTGCGTGCTTGGGATAGGTCTCACGTTCGTGGATTTGCTAAAGCAAGATGCATGTGAATCGATCGCGAAGCACGGCGATACTGAGAGATACAATCCCAAAAGGAGGAAAAACGTGGCCGCCATGATTTTCCGATAGCATGGAACGATTCGAACTACAATTCAAGGCACTGCAGCCTGTTTTATATTAATTGCGGCCTATTGGTTCCGTGAGTGTCAAGAGATCGCTTTCGAACTTCTGTATTTCCCTAATAAGCTTCCTAAATATTATTTTTATAAGTTCAGACGTCAATCAACCATAAAAGACAGGCTGAAAAGATTTCAGCTTCAAAACTTGTTTGGCAAGATACACAGTTTCAGTTTTTCAATCTGTTAGAGTGTTTAATTCCTTATGCGTAAATCATTCACCTTAATGTAATTTCTTCCTTTGAAATTCGCTTTTCAATCTGAAGACCCCGTTTACCCGTTCACTGGATTAAACTGAGAGTCATGCCGAGAGCCCACACCTTCAATGAGCGCCTTATTTAATGGTTGCGAAACAGTATTGATTGGGCCGGGTCGGTTGAGGTTACAAAAACATGCTTCCGGCGCGAGGAAAAACACACGCACATAACGCCAGAGCAAGTAACAGGACCATTTATACGAGAAAAAATAAGTGGCCCTCGAACGATTGTCATAAATTGATTTCTATGCAACTGAGAAGCATGACAGGGTGTTCAATACAGATTGGTGCAACTGCGCATGCGTGCAGGAAGAGGTTCACAAAACAACTTATAAGTCTTTGTTCTTGTCAACGAAATGTATCCTGTAAGATGAAACACTAATAAAAGCAATGGAGAGAGCCATGCCAGTCTAGAAAGTTTCGAAACAAATTTTAATCAGGTGCAAAATAATAATAATAATAATAACAACAACAACAAAACGTTTATTCAGTATTACCATTTTGTACAGGTGTTAGCGATTAAAATAACAATAATAAACAGCTGAATTTAGGGAAATGAAGATATGATAGAACGCTAGAATTAACTATGTTTCTTTCGTCTTTCAAATGCTTGAAAGATGAAATTAGCAGCTAGCCTGCTGATATGTGAATCAGTATTGTTAAAAAGAAAACAGACTTTATCATGGATATTGTAATTTGTAAATAATGTATTTCGGTCGTTGATTTTAATAAAAAGAGTCCTTCTCAAATCATTGTATTGATCACAGTGAAATAATATGTGCAGGTCACTTTCAACAGAATTTTGTTTGCAATGATCACAGATTCTAAGGTCTTCAGGAGTTTTGGGGATTGTAAATCTTCCAGTTTCTATTTTTAAATTATGATTTCCTATCCTAAATTTGGAAGCTACACGCCTATGTTCAGGATTCCGGATATGATTGATGAATTTAGAGTGATTTGCTTCATTTTTAAAGATGGAGTAGAATTTTAGTTTTTTATTTGTTCTTATCAAATATAGCTCGTGGTTTTTCAGATGTTTTGACAAATTATTCTTAGCTTTGGATAGGAAAGAGGAAGGGTCTTTAAAGTTAACTGATTGTTTATGAATACTAAGTTGTGTACTCAAAAGATTTATTTTATTTATTAGACCTGATTTATTTTCTTCGGCCATTTTATCCGATGTGTTTAAGCAGAGTTTAGCGATGCTGTCAGGGGGGGTTGATTTTCAAGGTAAATCGAAAACTTGAAAATGTTCATTGTTATTTGTAAATTTAGAGATAATCTACCAAGTTTATTTCTCGATGCAACATTCGGTGAACGTTTGTTTAAACCTAAACACATCTTACAAAAATGTATATGCGTTTTCTCAATCGAGTCTTTATCCCAGCGGCGTTTTTTAATGTAAAAATAGGAAAATTTGTGGGTGGCAATTCGAGGCAATCTTCGCATTTCAGGAGTCTGGCATGTTGGGTGGGCCCATTTCAGGTACTTTTTAGGTGTCCGCGTCCGCTTAATAGAGGTGTCCGCTTAATAAAGGTTTCATTTAAAGCAAATAAGGGGAAATAAATTTTGGGACTTCGGCTACTGTCCGCTTAATACGGTGTCCGCTTATTACAGGTTTCACTGTAGTTGATTCCAGTCTTTGTGAGTGGAACTTCAATTCTGGATTCCAGTCGTTTGTGGGATTCCGGATTCCTTGAGCTGTATTCCGGATTCCAAAGCCCAGGATTCCAGATTCCACAAGCAAAATTTTCCCGGATTGGGGAATCCGGATTCCCTTACATGGGGTGATATACCCCTAAACAAGACTATTACCACTGGATACTCTTCCCAGTCCCTTATCTATGGGAATCTATATGAAAAATATCTTTGCGTGAATACTAGCCTAGCTGTATGAGATCCGTTCTTGACCGGCTGACTGAATAACTCAATGCTATTTCTTGCACCGTAATTTTACCCCGGGGGGTGGACTCTGCATATCAAAGGGGTGGGGATGCTCGTCGTCTCGCTTAGGGGTGTAAATTTCGGATTTTGGTTTCACTTAGGGTGTTCTGGGCAAAACGCCATCAGTTTTAGCCGTGAAGGTCTTGTTTAGGGTTGCACGTGAAAAAATATAAAAATATTATATTGTCTGTGTTTTAACATGGTCTCTTTTAGGGGTCAAAAAAAGCTTAGGCCACGCCCAGATCGGTCTCCTTTAGGGGTTTAATTCAAAATTTCCGACGAGCATCCCCACTCCTTTCATATGCGGAGTCCCCCCCGGAATTTTACCCCTATATTCCATGTATTCGAGCGCCTTTCATCATTTTAAAGGCTGCAATCTGGTATTAAAAACGTTTTAGCAGGGAAAAGTTTCAGAGTTATTTGTTTTTTGTTGTTGTCGTTTGTTTGCTTGTGTTTTATTATGTACCCTAGCAGTCCTAGATACTCCTCCATTTTACTGACAGAGATCTTCTCAATAACATTATCGGGCAGGTAAGTTGCAAGAGCTAAGTGAAGACCTTATTTTAAACATTACATATCATGAAGTCGCTTTACTTAAGTACAGCTTCAATCAATCAATAAATGAAACTTTACAAATTATGAGGGTAACACGTTATTATAGGTGATCGACGACTCTAAATCTCGAATTCATTCGCTAACAAAACTAAATGATTTAACATTACATTTTAATTAAATGTCGTACTTGTTTCGGGGTGGCAATTCGGGAGAGAGGCAGTTGCCACATGTTTAATTTTGAAAACTTCAAAAGCTGATAAAGCAAACGAAGAGAGCCGTACCGAAAAGGACCAAGGCTATCTTGTTTGTGGAAGGTTGTCCAGTTGGAGCCCCCTTCGATGTGCGCCCGAGTTTTTTTCTCAGGCGAGGGATGTCGTCGGTAACCAATGCCGATGCACTGTTTTGAATCAGCATATCGAGAATTTTGTCGTCCTTAGTCCTCTGTTCGTCTGTAAGCGCCAAGTTGTCGATTATAAAAGCGCCAAAACTGAGCGAAGGACTGTAGTTTTCTTTAAACGTCTGGAAGGTGTTGTTCGAATATTTCGGGTTGTTGTAAATATTATAATCCATAACAACAAAACTGGAGTTGGTGGACCTCAACAAATTGCCAGTTTCAAAGAGAAAATCCATGAATTCTGTACCGTTGGGTGCACTTTCCACGCACTGTCGCATTCCAGGCAAATCTCCATACTCCCTCTTCAAGTCATCAGCATCTCTTTGGTCCCACATTCCTTTCTTGTAAAATATCCCCACAGTAAGGGATGGATTCTCTTTCTTGGCAGCTAGAATCTTGAATGGATCAAAAGATGCAAGGAGAACTTTGTCCAATAAACCTTTTTCAGCAATGAGTTTCGCCACAGCCTGACCAATCTTTTCACTCTCTGTGCGATCTCGCAAATATCCTGGCTTCAGCTGTGAACGAAAATAAGCTCAAATTGAAAAAGTTCAGGAGCTGAGTCTCTACTTACAAAGATGACGAATTTCACGACGTGCAGCGTATGGGCGTAAATTTTGACTACAAAAGGGATGAGAAGAAAACTAGATACGATTTTCTAGGACTGTTAGGCCCTATAATAATAACGGCCGGATCTGTTTTAGCCCTAAGATAGGGTAGTTTCGGTGCATGAGTAAGCAGTCCTATTATTTGGGTCTAATTGGGCTCCCTGGCTGTCCCATAATCACGGCCAATACAGTTCAATGACCTAAGGTTGAAATGAGTCTTAGCGTGAGCTAGAATATGCTTTTGATGGGGGCTTTTTTGGCTCAAATTGTGTTCAGACATGTTAAATGGCTTCAGGAGAGTAAATTGGTACTTTGGGGCTGAAATTTATAGTGTAGGAAAATCATAGTGTTAACAGGTTCGTTACATGACCCGCCCCTGATCAAACTGTAATGCATAAGATCTATTGCAGTTGATTGCAAAATGGAATTAATAATCCCTTTGCTACCCCTCGTTAACTGAAATATTTAGTACTCGGTATGCATTTTCAAGCAAGAAATCATGCGCTGATGAGTAAAAGAAAACTAACTTACGTTTAAATACATCACCAGTTCTTCGTCTTTCACTGCATCAAATACCTCAGACAGCAATGGTATTTTTCTTGTTTTATCAAAGTCGTAATCTTTATTTCCTATAATAAAATTCAAGTTTCTCTATCAGAGTGCGTTCACTCTGAAAACTACCATGATATCATGAAGTCTAATGCATGCTTGTAAAGCAACACCTACTATGAACCACACCTTCACTCCGAAGGAGTTACTCCCTATAATGGCCAATACGGGGGAGGCTTCAGCCGAAACCGGAGTACTTTTTTCAGTCCTCGGGTGTAAATAAAGGGCGGAGATTTCCCTTGTTGAGGTGTATGAAAGGGTGAGTAAATCTGTGGCATGTCACAATGGCTGTATCACGCTACATGAAAATAACTGGAAGAGTTCCTGTTTTAGTGATTTATTTATAACATGGGCCATTTAATGTTGAAATTCAACACATCGGGTACCATTTTTTTTTCAATAAAATTTATGGCAAAGGAGTACCTTTTCTGTCCACAAGGGAGTACGTAAAAATAATAGGGGGTTTAACCCCCGGGCGGAGTCTTTCTGTACAAACCTTTGCAGCGGCGACGGCAGAGCGAAATAAAAGGTGGGGGGTGGGGGTGGGGGAGGAGGGCTGAAAATAAAATTGGACATTCAAATTTACCGCCCCCCTCCTCCCCCCTCAATAAGCAATAAAAGGCATCCTCTGTCCTTTTTTAAGACGCCGGCAACATTTTGCGCCCCTCGGATGCAATCTTCAATATTGGTGCCGACGACAAAAACTACATAGGACAGCCTTCCATAGGGGGGTGGGGGGAGTGCGGCAAGGGAGTGCGGATAAAAAATGAAATGTCCCAATCAAACCAGCTTCCTACGTTGTTTCTTGTTTTAAGGTCTCGGTAAATGAAAATTTTAGTACATTGCTCGATTTTGTTTTTTTGGGATTTTTGGCATGAGTGGGTCCTAAATTTTATTTTGGCAGAAAAAGAAAATCAGAAAGTGCTTTTTAACCCTTCTAAAATGAGCCTCTTCTGAGCTAACCAGGTAAGCGTGGACCTCGCGCTAAATCTTTAGAGCTGATTTTCTCTCACTCTATTTTAGACGCAAAAATCAAAATTCTCCGACCTCCAGTCGGGACAGGTTTTAAGCTATCGCTTTGAAACTTTCAAATATGATGGATAATGATATAGACTCAAAAAGGGTGTGAGGAATTTTCCGATTTCCCTTTGTAACTCATTTTATGCCAGTTTCTTTGCGTAAATCGCGCTCGAGATTCGACTTTTTAGTTTGAAATGCAATAATTCCGCTAATACGAGACATATGCAAATTTCCTCACACCCTTTTTTAGGTCTTTTATCTGTCAATCAGATGCAAAAAAAAGGAAGTGAATATTTAACAACGCGAAAGGGCTGGAGCTTCAGCAGTAAACTCGATACCTCTGAGTTCGAGAACAAAAAACTTAAGCACCTTTTGAAATTCGATAAAATAAAATTTTTTAGAAGGTAATTTAGTCTTTTAGCTTTAATTTGATATATAACTTGCCTTTGTAGCGAAAATACTCGCGCGACTAGAATTTTTTTCTGTGGGCACCTCGTTTTCCTTTACCGAGACCTTAAACAGACGAGTCAACGTTTACTTGAACTTTCCAAGTTAAGTTTTAATGAGTTGACCTAACCGTGGTAAAATAAAAGAAAGTTATTTATCATTCTACCAAACTGGGGGGCTGAAGCCCCCCTAGCACCCCCGCTTCCGCCGCCTATGCTTTGTTGAGTCTCTTCGATCCCCTGGTTGCCCTTCCTTTTTTGAGCGCATATACCACTATTACTTACCATATCGTAAAGTTGATTTGATGTCAAGTTGCTGGAGGTCATTATAAGTAACGTCCCATATAGTGTGATTCTCACCCGTCAGTGTCTGAAAGAAAGAGCGGGATAAAAAGTAGACTGCGGTTAAGTCACCTTTTCCCGTATAAGGATCAAGGTACCAAATCGGATTTTCGGAATTCTCTACTCGGCCTAGTCAGTGATCGAGCTTCGGATTTTGGGAAAGGAGAGCGAGATTCAGGGAAAAAAATTTAAAGTTATGAACGAGACACTGGATTTGGTACTTTTACAATGCCACGCACGGGAAATCTCTTCACTTATTTACTCGAGATCCGGTAAGGAAACTGAGCTGTTTTTAAATGTCGACAGAAAAAATTTATCTTGCCATAACAAAATTGGCTCTATATAAATCAGGGAATGCCGCGGAAATTACTACAGACCCCGCTAATAACCTGGTAATGATAGAAGTACAACAACCGTTCTAAATTAGGCTCCTCTGATTCTCTTTTGCTTGTATGATTTTTATAGGTATTCCTCTCCAGTAATATATAAAGCCGCGCCCCTATCCACGACAGATTAGGCGACCATGCAGTAATCTGTGTGTAGTCACTAAGTAAAACACAATCCTGTCTCTGTACAATTACGCCTGTACGCCTGGAGGAGAGGAGATACACACCAAGGGCCAAGAAGCTTAGGTCTACAAGGCGAGCGCTTATCTCAGATTTAATGGCACAAAATATCTACTTTGAGGGTTGTCAATCAGAGTTCTTTTACAGCAAAATAGGGGCGACATACATTAAATCCGGGGTAAAAAGTATGCGAGGGATGCAGGATGCCAAAAATAACTATCGGGACTACGAAATTTGGGGAAACTTTGGATCCGGGTACCGGACGGCCGATTGAAGAACCCTATTGGGTACCCTCTACATTCGCTAGACAGGAGGTTATCAATCCCGTCACCAACGGTGCAGCAACTGTATGCATCAATGTCGCGGTCGCGGTTACCCGTGAAGTTAATTTGAATTAAGTAAAAAAAAATGAGAATGAAGACAGAAAATGTGGTGAGCAAATGTCTTGACTACGAAATCAAGGCTATAAAACGGGAAACGTCACACTCAGGACTTGGCCATGAGATACTTGTATTTTCATGTATTAAACCGATAATAGTTTAAACTATTTCAGATCATCTATAAATCTGAACTGACCAGGAATGCCCACTTCTCCCCTGTCCCAGGTCTTTAAGACCGGCTTTGCCCGGTACTAACCTCTGTGTTGTCATAGTGGATAACAACCAATTGCTTATCCTTTGTAAGAAAAGTATCAAACTCCATTCCGTCTGCCTTCAATTCCTTCAAGCTCTTGAAACCATCGATTGTGTTTTCTTGATACTTAGACGGATTGCCATGATGTCCGATCACCAAGGGTTTCTCTTTCTTCTTGTTGTAGAGGTGCGTGCTTGGGATAGGTCTCACGTTCGTGGATTTGCTAAAGCAAGATGCATGTGAATCGATCGCGAAGCATGGAGATACTGAGAGATACAATCCCAAAAGGAGGAAAAACGTGGCCGCCATGATTTTCCGATAGCATGGAACGATTCGAACTACAATTCAAGGCACTGCAGCCTGTTTTTATATTAATTGCGGACTATTGGTTGCGTGAGTGTCAAGAGATCGCTTTCGAACTTTTGTATTTCCCTAATAAGCTTCCTAAATATTATTTTTATAAGTTCAGACGTCAATCAACCATAAAAGACAGGCTGAAAAGATTTCAGCTTCAAAACTTGTTTGGCAAGATACACAGTTTCAGTTTTTCAATCCGTTAGAGTCTTTAATTCCCTATGCGTAAATCATTCACCTTAATGTAATTTCTTCCTTTGAAATTCGCTTTTCAATCTGAAGACCCCGTTTACCCGTTCACTGGATTAAACTGAGAGTCATGCCGAGAGCCCACACCTTCAATGAGCGCCTTAATTAATGGTTGCGAAACAGTATTGATTGGGCGGGGTCGGTTGAGGTTACAAAAACACGCTTCCGACGCGAGGAAAAACGCACGCACATAATGGCAGAAAAAGTAACATGGCCATTTATACGAGAAAAAATAAGTGGCCCTCGAATGATTGTCATAAATTGATTTCTATGCAACTGAGAAGCATGACAGGGTGTTCAATACAGATTGGTGCAACTGCGCATGCGTGCAGGCAGAGGTTCACAAAACAACTTATAAGTCTTTGTTCTTGTCAGCGAAATGTATCCTGTAAGATGAAACACTAATGAAAGCAATGGAGAGAGCCATGCCAGTCTAGAAAGTTTCGAAACAAAATTTAAACAGGCGCAAAATAATAATAATAATAATAATAATAATAAAATGGGCCAGTTTTTAATTGTTGTAAAGTGGAATCCCGATTTGTCGCACCACTAGCGGAAAAGTAAATTGGTGCGAAGTATTTGGAGGTTTGAAAATCGGGGGAAATTTGACTAGTGAAGGCAGGTCACGTTTGAATCATGTTGAATTTCGAATTCAACTCATTTCCCTCTTGACCTATCCTATGCTGAAAATTGACGAGTAAGCTGATAGTGGTCGAATAGGTAACCATTCTGAGCAACGTTATGATTATTTCAAGAAACTTCACTGATTTGAGTGAAACAGTCAGTACGTCCTTCTTACTATTTTTAATTCATTATAGTTTCGGCAGAAAGAGACAAAACCACACCATTTCACACACCTGTAGAGAGCTTCCAAATACCTCTAACGCACACCCTCTTTAGCTTAAGAACACTATATTTTCGAAAGCCGTCTCAGGTATCAGATCATGTGTGAGTGCGGCTTCAGGAGATCATCTGAGATTACCTGCTACTTCGGTGGAGTTTGAAACCAAAAACGCCTAAAGACGGGTCTAGCGATGATAGTAGCTACAACGTACCCCTGTGTACAGAGAAGGCATGTCACCTAAAACGAGAAGTCCAAAGACTACTGCAAAGCTGATTCATAACAACGTGTATTGTTTTCTTATAACAATATTTCGGTTGGCCATATACTAGCCTTCTTCAGGTTTACAGATCGATGTTACTGAACTTATGTAGCAATCACAATATTATATATATGGAGAATGTCGCAATAAAAATTGTTTAAAAGGGATAGGCAGAAGTGACATACAACACAAAAACTGGAAAGGAAAAGTACTAAGGATATGGATTACAATAATTCGTCACGGCGGTTTAGGCCATGAGGTTCAAGAGTCATGGCCTAATGGCCATGACTCCTGAACCTCATGGCCATGACTCTTGAACCTCATGGCCTAAACCGCCGTGACGAATTATTGTAATCCGCCTAATATTGTGATTGCTACGTAAGTTAAGTAACATCTGTAAACCTGAAGAAGGCTGGTATGGCCAGCCGAAATATTGTTGTAAGAAAACAATACACGTTGTTATGAATCAGCTTTACAGCAGTCTTTGGACTTCTCGTTTTTGGTTCTTTATATTTTGGCTGATTAGATCTCTTTTTTAGAGATCCAACGTTTACAACTAGCAGGATCTTCGTCCACGGTTTTTGCAGTTAATTTAATCCTTTATTGTGTCACCTTAAGCACTCATGGCTTCCTGATCGAGACTTCGATCTCCAACTTTTATTCTTTTTATTTTCAAATCTTGTATGTGTAAGAGTTAATTTTTTTCACAGATAATGAAAAAAAATAAACCTATCAAGAGCTATCAATAATAAGAAACCTACGAAGAGCCTGGACCAACATAGCACCTATAAGTTCCTAGGCGTCTTCGAAAACACCAAGCAAGAGGATAAGCAAGTACTGGAAGCCGCAGCAAAGGCATACTTGCAGAGGCTATCAATCATCTGGTCCAGCCCATTGTCAGATCATACAAAGATAGTGGCGTCCAATCAGTGCGCTTTACCAGTTGTTACATACTTGATGTGAACACAAACTTGGCCGATAGCAAACATCCAACAGCTACTGCTTGACCGAGAGGGAAGAAAAATCATCGGGGAGAATGGAGGAAATCACTCCAAGGGATCGAAAGCGATACTCTACATGTCTAGGAAGCTCGGTGGAAGGGGTCTCAAGTCCTTGGAGAATGAACACAAGAACACTAAGATCAAAGCAGCAGTAAAGCTTTATTGCAACGCTGACCCTACGATAGTCTGCGCGCAGACGAAATTAAACTCTGGTTAACTCCGTCTGCGAAACAGTGCCGAAATCCTTGTTCTGGACTTCCAGCTGTGTACCCAGATTTGAGTACGCGCCACGATTGGCCAGTTAAAAAAGGCCTTTGTTTTGTTTGTCGTGATCGCCAATCAGGTTGAAGGGGAATTCGAAACGCACTTCCGGTAATTCGTTGAGTCCGTTGGGGGTCCAGAACAAGGATCTCTGCGCTGCTTCGCAGACGGTACTAATCAGAGTTTAGTTATCGTCGGCACGCAGGCTAACCCTACGATGGCAGCAGTAAGATCGTACAGAATGGACGTCACTCCGTCATTACAGATGCCAAGAAGTACGCAGAGTAGCTGGATCTACAGTTGCGGTTAAACTTTCCTAACCCAACTGCTATCACCGATGGTAAAAAAGTCGACGCTAAGAAGGTAAAGCAGGCAATCTACAAACCCCGCCAGCACGAGATACAATCAACGGTATCTGAGGAGAGATGGCAAGGAAAGCTTATCAACAACAGATGGGATGACGAGAAAGTTAAACTGGAGGAGTACTTTGCGTGGCTTTTTTCATGGAAGAATGCCCCAAAGCATACCATCGCTGGAGTACAAGAGCTTTTGCCAACAGCTATTACCTACCAAGGTTTACTACAACAGAAAAACAAAATCACAAGTAACTGATGAAAAATGCCGCCTATGCGGGGATTCCGTGGAGAATGTGCACTTCACCATGACATTTTCTAACTGTTTGCAATCATCAGTACCAATCATTCCGGCCTCCATTCAAGGATTGCCCGAAAGATCATAAAATTTACGATGACAAAACATGTTGTTTAATATATGAGTTTCATATTAAGTCTGGTTATGCGCCAAAGAACATTAATAGTCACGAACCCGGCAATACAACTGATCCGGCCTGATACTGACTGATCACTTCAATAAAGATATGAACTAGACTGAAGTCAGTGGAATTCCACATCTACATCTACTTTATTAACGGATAAAGCAGATTATTACTGCATCACATACATCCGTTTAACAAAAATAATAACATTCTGATAAAATTCCATAAATAACGTTATTGTAAAGTAACTGAATTAAAGTGTCCATCCAATGAAATAAGCACTTGAGTAGAATAACAGTTAAAACCACTCTCCTTTCTTAATACTGAGACGGTCACAAGCGGCAGACTTAAACATGTCATTATTAGTTAATTAAAAGGTTGTGGCCTCGTACTGGAAAATAATTAAATGAAAAAAACTCTAGGGTCGGATCTAAGAAGCAGAAAACTCATTAAAAAAGTTCGAGTGCTGCCTTGTGCGCTTGGCGTGACGTCCTCTTTGCAATTTCCCGCCGTTTGTGAAGTAATCCATGATCTAGAGATGCGCAGCTGGTAAGAAGACGTGTCCATGACCAAAGGCATATTAAAAGGTCCAGCTTTATTGATCACCACTAATCACAAAGTGAAACCTCCCACAAACGAGGGGAAGAGCGGTAGGGCTTCCCTCAAGACGCCTGCGGTCGATGGACGCAAGACCTCGTTCATCTATGCCAACTCTCCTGGATTATCCGGGAAACTCCCAGATACGGCACTGATCTCCTGCTCTCCCGTACGGGTCACCAAATCTCTCGGATAAAATGGACTTTTGAGCATTTCTGTACTTTAGTTTAAAATTTAGCCCATTTTTTCCCTCAAAATCGAAATTTTTTCATTCATTGTACAGTTTCTGGGCCATTTTTGCACGTATTAAGTCACTGACAAAGATTATTTCTTCACTGCAATGATGAAAGGGAATTTTTGTAGCATACTTCATTTAATGTCGTAATTAAGCCATGGCAGCTGGGTCAATTTGTGGGTGGGGTTGTGGGGTTGATGAGGCTTTTGAGATTCTGGGGGAGGGGGTGTAGTGCAAAATAGAGAGTCTCCAGATTTTCGATCTCTGGAGGTTGGCATCTCTGTAAGGTCTCTCAAAGTACCTTCAAAAACATAAGCAGAAAAACAGTAAACTGATCCTTACGGTATAAAGAAGGCTGAGAAACACGTAGAGAAAAATAATGGTAAAGTGTATTTGCCTGATATTTCTTTCAGTTTACAAAACAAACTTTTCTCCCATGAAAATAGGCCCTTTTATAGCCCCTGTAAAAACGAAGAGTTTTATTTGTCTTTTATTTTGTTCAAGTCTTTGAGCCATAAGGATCAGTGAACTGGCTTTCTAATTGGTTTTCAAGATTGTTTTCTGATCCATGTCTACACAAGATCCGGTTTTCACTGCATGGTTTGTCGCGTGTTACTGTTTTCAATGAAATATAAGCCCCGGGGATTATTTTCGAAAAATTAGGGTTATTTTAATAATTAGAAAAAGAACATGTTTATCTAAGGCTTGTAAGAGCAAAATGACTTAGAATTCTTCGAGAAAAGAAACTTTTATTTGAAAAAAAAATTTCATTATTTATTTTTGGTCTCAGATTATCTTCCCCAGTCCACCACATGATGAAAAAGGGCAGAATAGTCCTGAACCCTAGTGTCTTTATATAGAACTCACAAAACTTCTTTTTGCGGGAAAGTAATATGGCGACCCATCAGACAAATATTTCCACGACCACGGCTTCGAGTAAGCTTTCCTTGGAATCGTTCCCTTCTCTTCTCTAATACAACCTCTGACACTTCTTTGTCTCTTTAGTGATATCAACGGTTGGGACCAATTCAAGTAATGAAGCCGATAACAGTGGTTTTTACACCGGTCTTGGTCTTGCCATTAGTTCTAGCGTTTTCATCGGAAGTAGTTTTATCATCAAGAAGAAGGGACTGCTCAAGGTTACTAGAAGTTCAGGAACGAGAGCAGGTAAACAAAAAAGTGAACAGCGTGGTTTAGTAGTTTGCGGTGACACAGCGATCTCGGATGCTTTCGTTTTGCTGGATGAAAAACATTAATTTTTAAAAGTTAGATAGAAATATAATACGATCGTGAGCCAACCTCTGATGAACGTAACGGAAAGTGACTAAGACTTATTTAGATCGCTTGTATGATATTTCTCTCCTTATTTTTAGGTCAAGGAGGTTATGCTTATCTGAAAGAATGGCTGTGGTGGTCTGGCATGATAACGAGTAAGTTTTGAGTTTAAATATTCTCGAATCGAACAGCTTAGTAATTCAATCTTTCTGCAGCAGCTGCAACTTAACGTAAAGTCTTTTCAGCCGCTTTATTTCTTCGTCTCTGGAGAAACCGTGCAATAGATTCTCTATTCTCTAATAAAGTGTGAAGTTGTAAACCTCCATTACTTAACAAAATTTTCTCGTTAGGAATTCCTATGTCATTTTCTTTCATAAAATGGATACGATTTTTATACGCGTTCACTGTGATATTGAGCATGGGTATTTATTAAAACTTCTGTATTTGCTTCACAAATCGAGTTTATGGAGAAAGTATTCAAGGTAGTGAAAAAAAATTCTTTTAGAGGTGACACAATAACTAGTCAGTCACCGAGTAGTACAAATTCTGGCACATACACGAGGAAGTAAACTATATAAGCAAACATAACAAGTAGTAAATTATCCCTACTGGCCGAAGACTAACAAGTTAGCCATAATCCAAGCGTGACTAAGGAGCAGCGCTGTGAACTTTTGGCCGTATCTCCTGGTCTCCAGATTAGAGTATGAAATCCCCCGGATAATCGCCCAAGTGTACCAATTCTTGTAGACTTGACTTTCCGACCGAGTGATGCAACAACTAGTCAGTGACCGAGTAGTATAAATCCTGGCACATACACAAGGACATTAACTATAACATAGGCACGTTAAACGTGCATGAGCTATTTTGAATGCTTCAGTGTAATTTTAATGCTTCGGTGTAACCTTACCAAGAGTGATGAATCTACCTCGTTCATCCTAAATGTAGATTGTGTTTTTTTGCGAAATTGCGTATTGCGGTACATAAATGAAAACGCGAAACGCTCAGCTAAGTCGATCCTCAAGCTATATATTCACTTTCCTCTGTCTTTCCCTGTTACATCTGGTGCAAGTTAAACAAATCGTTAAAGTGAATAAATTTCTACTCACCAAACGTTGATTAGAAGGAAAACTCTAAGGTTTCGTCGGAGTTTCTTAAGCCAAAATGTGACTCATCGAATACTGAATAGTTACGAAATACCAGGATTTTTTATCATTGTGGTAGATGGTTGCATCATCTTAATTCACGAGGTTTTCACGTTCGATTCTACTCAGTGAAACGGTCTTTAACTCTGACAACTTATTTTGTCATGTTTTAAAAGCTATTGCTTCTCAAAAGACAAGAGCCTTTTTTAAGGCATTGGTTACTAAACGAAACAGGTCTTCATACGTCCAAGTTACTATTATTATTGTGAAAAGCCAATCTGCATGAGATGTACAGTCACACAGCTGGCACGTGAAAGTGTTGAACTCTGCCCCCTTTTGTGGTTCGTACGTGAGGGAATTCGAGTTATCACACAGTAATCTAGTAAACAGAATTATAAAAATGCACACAATTTGCATGTGAAGATGTTGGTCTTTGGCCCTTTCACAATTCGTACGTAAAAAAGAGGCAAATTGTTTTACTACAAAATTTTCTCAAACAATTTTAAGAAATCACCTCGGCTTTATTACAACATCTGCAATAAAATTATGTTTCATGCAACGTCAAGGTTGATAGCCTAACATTTTTTAACTTCCAAGAAAATTATCAAACAGCTGAAATATATTTCTACCTACATCATGTTACTTCACTCAATATAGCAGTATCTAATACTAGCTTCTTCCAATTTTATTCCGTAACGCTACTGTTTCTACTTAAGTTACGCATCTTTACTAAATAGAGCGAAAAAGGGCGGTTGAACTTTGTAAGCGAGAGAATAATATTTTTTAAGCTTGTTTACAGGATTAACAATACTCGATACAGCTTTCAAAAAAATAACCTACCTTTTAAACTTCTAAAACCACATTTTATAGGGCGCATACTTTTCTAATTAAAGTCTATATCCAAATATCAATTATTGCTTCATTGGAAGAGATTTGAAAATATATGATCTTTTATACTCTACCCAGTTGTAGCAGGTGAAACAGAACTCATACTGACGTGCGTTGTACCAATAGCCGAATTAGGTCAGAAATGCCTTGAAGCAGCATCCACACTTAAATATGAACCCTTAAACAGCTGCATCACTGTTCACAGCGTTTGAATCATGAAGATATTTTATGTAATGCTTCCAAACACCTGGACTCATCTGGACTCATAATAAAAGGTGAAAAAATTGTGAAGGATCAAGATGGCGGTCTCAAAGTGCCCTTGTTCGACCTTTGCCAATGCCATGTTTAAATAGATGCCAAGATCTCATTGGTTCCTAGGCATCAACTCATAGTAACTTCAACCTTATTGGCTCTTGCAGCAAACATCCCAACATACAAAGCCACAAAGATACATAGGCTCACACCACTGCAATAAGCAAACATATAAGTAGTAAAATAATTATCCCTACTGGCCAAAGACAAACAAGTTAGCCATAATCCAAACTTGACTGAGGAGCAGTGCTGTGAACTCTCCCAGATAATCCGGGAAACTCCAGATTTTGGCCGTATCTGCCAGTCTCCAGATTAGAGTGTGAAATCTTCTGGATAATTACCCAAGTTTACCAATTCTTGTTGACTCAACACAATACTTTGTGTTGTTTGAGCTATTTATTTATTTTTATGGAACGTTTCCTCATAACCTGCAGCATGCCATTGTAATTTAAGCAATTATGTGGCTTTATATGAACTGTTTTATGTGGTATTATGTTGATTGGAGTCAACAAGTTTTTTTCGCTCAAATGACATCATGTGCCATGTGATGTGACATCATCTATCATCCCTTCCCTATCAATTTTTAATATTTGAAGATGTGGGGGATTGACAGCTCTGAGGAGTTTAACTTGGGGTTATATATGAAATTGAAGCTTCAAATTTCCTCCCTTCTCCCTCCAGGTGTACATACCCCAGGCATTTGACAACTTTGCCTTCCTAGGAGGGGGGTTGGGGGAGAATTTGATATTAGGAAGCTTAAGCAACAATGACAGCTACGAAAACATCACTTAAAATGTGAAGTCGCGCTGCTTCAAACTTTATCATACTTATTCCATCTCTTTTTGACATCACAAATTTCGGGTCCCTGCTATGACTCAGACATTGAACTTGATATCTGTTAAGAGTTTTGTATGGGGAAAGTCACATTCACCAACAAATTTATGTCATCTTTGAAGATTTTTATCGTCAAAAGAAACACAATCCAGATGTTGTAGTTAATTTTTTATCTCAGGTGATTTTTGTTTTTCTTTTGTTTTGGGATATGGTAATGTACGCTAATGAAGTTGAAACAAAAGAAAAACGAAAATTAACTGAGATAAAAAATTAAGTACAACATTATATCCTGAAAATTATGAATGTGTGCCAAGACAAGGTTAGACATGGAAAAACGTGTACAGATGAGTGATTTTATTCATAAATGCAGTGTCATTACTGTGGGTAAAATGTATATAATACAACATTACTAAGAATTGGATGGATAGCAGGATGTCATAACTGTTCTTAAAAGGCTCATTTGGTTAATGAGGCAAATGATGCTCGGTTTTTTTTTTGAAGAGTGAAGGCAACTCTTATTATGCTGAAAAAACAACTTACAAAAAAGTATGATGCACATGCAGAGTTGTTGTTTTGCCAATTTAAGGTGGCCCGTTCCTATTTATATGCGTGTTGGTTATGTTTTTGATTCGCGTTTTTCAGAATGAAAGATTCAACCGATTTCTACGAACTTTTGCGTCCTTAATAAATAATGATGGAACTTTAAGAAAACGTTATTTATTTTTTTATAGGTATAAAAGCTTTTGAGATATCGGCATATATTTAAAATTTCATTTTTACGAAAAATGAAAATAACTTTGAAATCCCACGACAGATTTTTCCCTAATTTCAGCAAATAAGCCTCAGAGCTCTCTAGTTTTATGTCTGCAAGTTTGAAGGCAATTGTGACCGTAGAAATCGCTCCACAAAATGTTGGTCAAATTTAAAGCTAAAATGATAGGCTAACACATTTGTGAATGTAAACGCACAAATAGCAGAAGAGAGCTGACAAACTACCTCTTAACTGAAACGTTGTTCTTACCCAAAGCATTGTTGGAAGAAAATGAGTAATCGGACAACTACGGCGAACACAGTTAGTGCTTTAATACGACCAACTTTCTGCCCATCTGAAGATGCTTTTCAACTGCGATGGCGGCGATGAAAGTCACAAACACAATGCTGACAGCAACATGGCTTCCTCCTCCAGACGTGAAAGGACCGCTTTTGAAATTTAGACTAGGGATATATGCACCCCCCTCCTAAGAAGGCCTCTGGCTTTGATTTCTTGTGATGTGTCTCAGGGCTTGCACAAGCCATAAAAAATCATTGTGTTGGATGACATTGTGAGTTTGGATAATTAAATAGGCAAGATTACAGCTTATTTGTGGATCGGCTAAAAAAACAAGGGATCATACTTCAGCTTTGTTTTGTCTGCGGTCAACTTGGCCTTAAGAGCATTAGGTAGCATATTAATAGTTAAGCAACATGATTGATTTTAAGAAGCAGTACAAATCAAAATCCATGCCGCTTGTCACATTCAAAGTGATGGATTATGTTACATGTGAAATCATGCAGAATGACCTTTGAACATTGACGCATGCCCGTTTCTTTTGTACAACATTCGTAACAACATTTTCTGTAGGCTTTAGTAAACTCTGACTCAACAAGCCAACACTAGTATGTAACGTTTGATTTTTCTTCCCGTTTAACTGAGCACTGCACTAAAAGCAAGAGTGCCTGGCTGGGCGAGCGGCAAGTTTGTTTCAGTCACCTGAAGCTAAATGTTAGTCGCCTCAAGCGGCCGGGCGCCATGAGAGCAGAGCCTTGGTATGTTGTAGAGTTTGCCAGATACATTACTGCCAGGAATAACTCCAGTTAGTGCCAAGAGCAGGTTTTGAGTTTACATCAGTGCATTTAACCACTCAGTGATACTACCTCCCATAGTTAGAGGTTATTATTTTATTTTACCACCAGTGGATGAACAGAGGTCTTAAATCTTATCAAACTATTAAGAGAGGTAGACAAGGGCCAGTCCCGATAATTAACGGGCCTGGTAAGCCGTCCCCGTTTATATTAAATATCGAGGTTTCAAAAGTTTTGCATCTAGCATGATAGAACTATCAGTTAATGAAACAAAATGGAGTAGTCTGCTAGCCAGGACCCGCGGTCTTATTCTTTATATTTCGATTTGAATATTTGATTTCGGGCCCGAAAAGTTAGCGGGACTTTCGAGAAACGGGCCCAGGCTTAGCAGAAGGTAGACACTTGAGTTAGTTTATATAGAATTTGAAACACTGACAAAAAAAATAAGTGATGACAAGTGAACTCCAGAGGCATTCTCTTATGTATCAGTCAATTCCAAAAGTGCCTGCCCCATTCCATACACACAAGTGTAATAAGGGTGTAGGAAAATGATAAATATAATACATCTAAAAAAGGAAACACAAGGTTAACCTTATCACGTTCACTTAAAGAAAGTGTGGAGGAAAACATCAATATATAACTAGTTACTTATTACAATAATTAATCGAGAAATAATTTAAATCATGATTATGAATTATTCTTTAATTTTAAGTAATGTTTGGCTTTGGTCTTGTGCTACCCCTAAGGGAATTTAGGGGACACGTTGCGATAGGCAACTGATTTAATTCATAACACCCCTTCTATGGTTTAAAGATTTAAGGTCTTACAATTTGCAATTCTCTATACTAACACACAGTGTATTGTTTTTACAGTGATAGTTGGTGAAATTGCCAACTTTACAGCATACGCCTTTGCACCAGCCATACTTGTTACTCCACTAGGTGCTCTCAGTGTTTTAGTAAGGTGAGTTGAAAGTAACAGACAGTCAATTAAAGTGCCTCTTGTGATTAAGCTATGTAGTAGTTTTTTAAAATGCTCAATTTGTAACATGAACCACACGAATTACCAACAAGTGATGTTTCATGCTCATGAAAAAGGTAAATTAGATTTTTTCAATGCTTGTCTGTTGCAATGGGCCATTCCCTCTAGTGTTGCTTAACAGGTGGCCACTTCCCTTAAATGTTTTTTCAGCTAAGGCATTATGAAAAATTATCAGTTTTTAGTAAGAAATCATGATTCTAAAATTCATCCGTGATCAGGCTGTAGACGTAGTAAAGGCTTCACGCAAAATAGATGGCACCCAAGAGAATTCCCCCTCAGAATTTCCAATGAACTTCGGTGGGAGGGGTATGGATATTTTCTGGAACCAGACAATGTAAGGCGGTGTCCAGACTTTAAGAATAATACGTAAAAATCTTTGTTTTACAATTTTAAAGGGTAGAGAGATAAAAAACAAAGGAGACCAATTTTGTTGGGAGAAAAATGTGAAAATTTTAGCGGCAGTGAGAAAATGAGAACTAGCGGCCACCAAGATGAAAATGAGAGGCAGCAAAAAAAAAAGGTTAACAGTCTAACACGTTCAACATCAGTCCTCCATAAAACATGTAACTAGGAAGTTTCACATCATAGTCATGCAAAATGACAGCAAAGAAATGTACAAAACTAGTGTGCTGCACATACAAAGTTGTTTCTTTGCTAATTGGACCTATCTTTTTGTTGTGTCACGGCTTAGCATTACACGATTTTATGTTTTGTTTGTGTAAACTATAAATATTAATGAGAGCTTCACTATTAATGAGAGCCTCTCTTTTAGCCCTGGTAAATGGTTGAACTCTACAAACATTGTATGTTTTAGAGTACTTGAAAGACCTGCAAATTTTAATTGCTATCATTTGATTTGCTGTGTTTGTTTTCCTACCTTTTCTTGAACTGTTTTTATTTCTATTCCTAGTGCAATGTTGGCATCATATTTCTTGAATGAGAAACAAAACCTCCATGGGAAAATAGGTTGTATTTTATCAATTATTGGTTCCACTGTTCTGGTCATACATGCACCACAGGAAGAAGAGGTGACAAGTATGGAAGTACTGGAGCCAAAGCTTGCATCTCCAGGTTATTTAATATTTCTTTTGTCTATTATTGAGCAAGAATCTTGCAAGAATATATTATGTTGAATTTTGCATTTTTATTAAGCAAATTAACAGCTACTGAATCATCTGCTACATGTAATTTGCAATCAGAGCTCTACATTTTAGTAAAGATACAGGTAACTAGTCTTAGGAAGATTGATTTGAGACATCTCACTTTACCCAACGACCACTTAATGTAGCGTGTCCACACTTTCCAATGTCGCGAGGGACGTAAAGAGCTGCCATTGAATATACCAGTATCTTGATGTATTTTTTCTACTCAAAGTGGTAGAATTAGCTATTTCAGGCACACTTCTGTCCATTACCTGTAAAAACCGTGGTTAGTACACCTGGCCCACATATACTGTCATTCAGGTGTACTTAGGACTATTGCTTGTGTTAAATCACAGAAAACAGAAATAATCTACGGGGTTAATTGTTAATTGCTGAAAAGTAGTCTGCAGAGGCCTACAGGAGTGTAATCATGGAATGTAGACATTTACATGTATTGTCAACTTACAAGAGCTTCTCATTTGTAAATTTATGTTTTCTTTCATGTTTTCAGGTTTTGTGACATACAGTATCCTTGTTATAGCACTTGCATTTGTGTTAATCTTCTATTATGGACCACGCCATGGAAAAACAAACATTCTGGTTTACATTGCAATCTGTTCTCTGATTGGCTCGTTGTCTGTCATGGGATGTAAAGGCCTTGGAATAGTAATAAAACAGACTGTCAGTGGACACAGCCAGTTAGCAAATCCTGTTGCTTGGGGGTTATTAGGAGCTGTATTGGCGTGCGTCATGACACAGATGAACTACCTAAACAAAGCTCTTGATATCTTTAATACTTCACTGGTCACTCCAATCTATTATGTTATGTTCACTACGCTAACAATTATCGCATCAGCCATTTTGTTCCGAGAATGGGAAGTGATGAACTCAAAAGACACTATTGGAGCAATCTGTGGATTTTTGACCATAGTATTTGGCGTGTTTTTGTTGCACGCATTTAAAGATGTTCACTTTAGTTTAAAGGACGTCTTAAAGTTTTCTCAGACAAATGGTGTACAAAGAGCAAGGAAACCTCATGCTCCACTGAATGATGAATCAGAAGCAATCCTTATGCATCACATGGGAGGTGACGATGAGGAAGAAACTGCGTTTGCAAATAATGCCAACCATTTATGACATTCCCTTTCAATGTAATAAATTTATAGAAATTCTAATAATTTTGTAAGTTGAACAAAGGGGATATCCTGGACTTATTTATAGTAATTTTTTATTACTTATCACCCCTTTGCTACATGTAAATCAAATGATGTAAATAACCACTAGTGCAATTGCTCAAAACTTAATAGCAGTAAAGTCTTCTCTTGTATAGAAAAAAAGTGTTTCTTAAAATGTTTTTGATTGATTCAGAACCAAGAAATTTTTCTGTACCTCAATGTTCTGAAATTTTGTCTTGACTTGAACTTGTAAAAATTTAACTACTCTATTGGACTACAAAATAATGAAATCTGGAAAATTAATATGTCTGCATGGCACTCCCTTTCCTTGGGGAACTTTCTTACACAAATTAAAGTCATATTACAATGTGCAGCCCTTGCCTAGCTAGTCCCTAGGCCCAATTATTCATGGCCAATGCATTTTGGGTCACGCCACCTGTTCATCTCGGATACATCACTGAAATGCATTGATCGAAAAGGCCTGGAAAGACGCTTTACAGGCAAGTGCAGCACCAAAGCAGAGCTGGAAATAACAGTGGGCTTATGTCCGACTAAAATTTTCCAATGTCAAAAAATCTTTAAAATTAATGTTGTCAGAGACCGAAGCAACAACGTGTAACAGAGTGTAAGTGCTGCAATGGTCTGGTCCAAAAGAGGGTATACAATGTAGAATTTAAGGTCACATCTGAGATAGGATAAGTGTAACAAGGTTTATTCTAGGAAGTGACCAGTACGGACCCCATGTACCCCCTTCTTTAATAATTTGTAAAGGGCCAGTTTACAAGAAAGAGGGGTACAGAAATGATCTCAAGCAAAGAATATGATTTTAAAACACACTTGAAGATTATGCCCTTGGTTACATAAACTTAAATGAGAAAATGGGAAAATGTAAGATCACACTTACTCACTCCTATTTTCTCAACTTTAAAAGTCAACGTAACTGATGGTATTCACTGGTCTAGTTAAAATCAAATCAGGTTACTTTGTATTTCTGTGCCACATTTGCTGCACTTTCATAAATTTGTGCATTGTTTTTTCAACAATGCTCACCTGTAGAATAAACCCTCTGAAATCACATGGGGTAAGGGCTACGAGAAGCATGCAGCATAACCGTACCTAGATTTTTCAACTCAAGATAAAAGGGTCTATTTCTCTTTTTCCTATTTTTTTAATGAAAAAACGAAAAGAAAAAGAAAACATTAATAAAGAGCCATTTAATAACCTATATATTATTGTAGTTACCAGCTTACAATTATTAAGCCTACAAATACAACCACTTCTCACTGTTCTCAGTCACTGGGGACATTTTGGAAGAGAAAAGTCTATGTTTTTGCCTTACAAATTTCTTACTTATCACAATCTGGTCAGGAGCTCTGAAAGGTTGAAGTAGTAATAAAATGTTATTGCACTTTGTCAGCAGCTATTGTTTACAAATAACAGACAAAACACAAAAGGTCACAACATCAAATGTACTGCCCTTTAATAATCTACCAAGAAACACTTATTTTCTAGGGATATATTTGCTTTAACAGAACAGTTTGAATTTTGCAGGCCCTATTAAAATTCACAGCAAAACTTTATAGCTAAGAATAAAAATTGTAAGATAATCAAAAGGGAGGAACGGAAACTCAATTAAATCTATATATCTGGTACTGACTGACTGGTTAACTAACATATAAACAATGATTATCTCCATCAGTATGGAATCTAATTACGGTAAATATTTATTCTGTAGTTGGATTTTTTCAGGCTTTCTTTATGAAACTGCAAAAGTTGCTTCCTTAACCACAATGATCTACAACCACTCTTAATTCTTCCTCCCCCAGTTTTAATATTATGATTTTCATTCATCATTAATTTCAGTATGGAATTTCTGCAAAAGGCAAAAATGAAGACATCACTCTCGGGAAATATCCTAATAACTGTATTCACAGCAGAAGGTTGATCCCAGAAATGTTCAGTGAAAACCTGACAGAAATTTTGGTTGTGAAAATGCTGTTAGCAGATTTATCTCATTCTTACTGGATAAATAAAATGTACAGTCCTGCAATTTACAAAAAGTACCTAGTGCTATAAATTTTGCACTGGAATAAAAAGAATATACGTCAATCAACTAGCAAAGATCCCAAAAATAAAAGGCTGATGATAGGTAAATACATTATGTTGTGGTTCAATTTTATCCTTGGTTTACATCTTATTTATCTCAGACTCATTATCTTATCAAAGACAAAGGAAAAATATAAAATTTAAACCAAGAACAAAATTGAGCCACAACATATGCGTCAAAAGATATCAAGAATGCTCAGGACTGATGTTAATGTCTTAAGATATTAATATATTGATATCTCTTGACAGTATTAAAACAGTTCAATTAAATTCTTGCTCCATGCTATTTCCTGTCTGGGAAATCTTATTTCTTCTTAGACTTTAGTTCCCTCCAAGTCATTGCATCTGATCTGTCTTGATTTGTGACTGCGACAAAGTCAAGTGTCTTTAAGCGCGGTAGAGTGGAGATAACATATTGTCTATAGCCTTGAAGATCTTCTATAGGGTTTCCATGCAAAGTTATTTTGCGAAGTTCAGGTAATGCAGCAAGTTTGTCAATTTCGGAAAGTTTCTTGATGTCGTTTGAGTGCAAGTACAGAATCTTTATGTTAGGGTACTGAAGTATTACCTGGAAAAAGAGCAAATTACTACTTACTTATAACTGTATTGATCATCAGTTTGAAATTAAATATGCAAGTTTGCATTATGTGACATCAAAATTCATGTAAGACCGGTTACTGTTTTCCTGGGCAAATTAGCTAAAGGGCTATTGTTTTTTAAATCTGCAGTGGGATTGACAAAATAATTTGAAAAAGAAAGCAAAAATTAAACGAATTCTGGTAGTTGTAGTCAATTGTCGTCATCATGAAAATAGCCCATTACTCTAATATTTAAACCCTGCTAAAAAATGTCTAGTCAAGCTATCTTCAAGTCACTGTCTGGTAAAAAAGAACCAAAACTGATGCCCAAAACTCTTTTTTAGGAATTTTTGGTCCTAAAGAGAGTCAGGGTTTCAAAACCCTCAGCAGCTCACCTATACCCAAATATTGGATGAGTACCCCCCACGGGCATATATTTTTTTTGTACCCCTCACATGGCAGAAATACTTAAGCTGAACACTGTCTGGTGTACAAAATGAGCAGCACTCTTGCAGCATGACTTCAAGAGAAGTCATGAGAGGTGCTTCAAAAGTATGTTAAAGAGCTGTAAAAGGACTGGCTTTACATAGTACTAGTAAATTTGAGTTGTTAAGCTCTGCTATAATAAGCACTATATTTTAATAAGCAGTACAACCTGACCCAAAATATTAATAGAGCAGCAAGCCTGCTAGCTGTCCAGATCACCCCTTTGTTGTGCACCACCTGACCTGTTATATGTAGGTTACATGTTTTGGTCTCTATTTATAACAAATGGTATATGGTAAATATTTACACTAATTTACCTCATCAATGGTTGATATATCATTAAAGGACAAGTCAAGCCAGCCCAAGTCTGAAGGATCTTCCAAAAAATGTTCAAGCGTGGAACAGAAACTCTGGAGATCAGAGATGGCATTGTAGCAGAACCGAAGTGAATTTGCTTTGTACTTTACTTTGACATTTCCTGCTTCATCATATTTCTGCAGACAAGAAAAAGGTAAATTTCTCAAAACATCCAGCTACACTTTTTGTTATGAAGACAAATCAACTTCGCCCAAAGGTAACAAAGAATTTCCAACCAATCAGAAGAACTACCTAGATCTGGGTGGTGACGCATCATCAGTATGGAATTTCTGCACTCATTTCTCAGTCATCATTTTGCGGGGAAACCAGTGGTGGCGTCACAAAATGTCAGCTGTTTTCTCAAGCTAAGGCAAATCCCTACTTTAGTGCGATTCAAATTCCCTGTGTACTCTCGGAAAATTAAGCCCATAGTGAGGAACTTTGAAAAAAAAAACAAAACATTGGCTCTAGTGTGGGGAATTTTGACTCCAAAATTATGTCTGATCGCCACCCCACCCTAGCCTGTGGTCTCCCCTGAGGCACAACATTGATGAGTGAATCAATAAGTTTCCTAACTCTTATCACTAAACTTCGAAGTCGTTTGGCGTTCGGCGATCTGTAAAATACCCCCCCCCCCCCCACCCCCCCCACTCCCCCAGTGGGGAAAGGGGCTTCTGCGAAGAAACTGAAGTAGCTGTGAACTTCTACAAATACCTCCACGCGGATAAATTTGTGAGGACCTGCTCTCGGCTCTTCTTCCATAGCATCTATACAAAGTGAGAAATACGATGACAAAAATATTAGCGCCTTGATAAAAAGAGAAAAATGCAACTGTGGTTGTAAGTGGGCAATATCGAATCGAATACCAAAACAAACCTTGAATTCCCGCCAAACATTTGTAAGAAAAGTCAAGAGGAGAGGTAATGTCGTTGTCTGCATCGATAGCGGCTGAGACCGTTGGTTTAGTTTTGCTTGTCATATCGTCCTCCCTTAAATACTACAACGTTAAAAGTATCAAAAAGCTTCCTGCGAAGTACGCGAAGAAGTCATTTTCGTGCAACCATTTTGTCTCGTGACGTTTTGAGTTGCAGTTGTCATGACAATAAATGAATGTTGGACTTTCTCGTTGAAAACGTGATCAGCGGTAGCCTTTTAAAAAACAAATATGGCGGGCGATAACAGAGGTAATTCCAAATCTTTTTCTTTTTGCTTTTTATAATTCCTTGCATTTGGATGACCTTTATGTTATCCTCCTGTATTCTTTAAATTAGGCTATTTATTTTCAGGCCTCGTGGCCTGGAAAGAAGTGTGTATTTTGCGTCGCCAGCTACTTAGTAGTGTGTTTTACTGATCTGTAGACTTCATAAGACATTTGAGTTTTTGTAAGAGCTTGTTTTTTCATCATTGTTCTTTCTTTTCTTCTTTGCATTCCACAGGGAAAACAGTCGTGGAAGTATCCTTGATGTTGTAAAATTTTCGAGGGATAAGTTCCAATTAGTTAACTCTACGCAAAATCAAAGAGTGTTCTTAAAAACATTATGGCTCAGTCATCAGGCATTTTCTGACTTTCAAAAATCCTCACTTTGGGAATAAGGCCAAGTGCAAAACCTTCATGGGAAAATGAGTTTTTCAAATGCAGGAGAATAAGAAACTAATAATTTCATATGCTTGAGACAACGTGGAAATGACCTATTCCAAGCATGCTGATTCCCTTTCCCTGGAGCAATTGTCCAGTTGTGAGTTTAATTTCCATGTTGGAGGATTTGTCATCAAAGGTTTTCCTGGGGGTGGGGTGTTTGCCATATTTGAAAGGGGGAATCGGTGATGGACATGCTCTAAATAGTTCAGGGTATGAAATAACTAGTGGATAACTGTGCAAAACTATTAACACAGGAATGTTTATTTTGTGATTTTTTTCACAAACATTGACAGAAGTAGCCAAAACACAAACTTACTGATGTTTTGGCCTTTGGTAGTAAATCACCCTTAACTAACTTTCAGCTATCGTCATTACCACTGCAGATATTCCTCTTCCTAAACATATATTATGCCATTGTTTTCTGTGTTGCTGAACTTTTGCTCTACATTTACAAAGGTGAGAGCTCCTCCTAAGGGGGTTACGTTTGCCCCTAGTCTGAATTTCAAAACCTATCCTTTTGCATTACTGTTGAGGAGAAAGCCATGTCGCTGTCAGTGTTTTACAATTGTATTTGCATTTTTCTGCCATTTCTGCTGTCCTATGTTGCTGTTTCAAGGCCATGTTGCTTGTATGAATTTTAACCTGGTTAACAGGGCCTCTAGTGAGGCACACTGCATATAATCCACCATTTTTGCCTGTGTATGTCCATTTTCCCATTATTTTCAGCATCTTTTTTCTGTACAGTTTACTTTTCTCAACCTACATTCCTTTGGCTTTCACTGTAAATAAAGTCAACCATACCCTTATTTATCCCTGACAAATTTTCCTATAGGTCAAGTGTGTGAGATTTTTGTATCATTACCTGGGTAATTTTTGAAAACTTTTTCTAATGATTTACAACAGCTTCTGAACATTTGCTGACGATAACTTGTGACATTTTTTCTTTTTTTTTTATGATTTCTGAAGGTTGCTAAAAGTCGGGATGCAAAGATCGAAGCTTTTACCTTGTGATTTAAGGCATTATTCAAATAATTTTATTATTCTCACATTAAGTACCCACTTGCCTAACTATATTAAATGAAAATTTAATTCAGTTTTTCAGTACATTACTGATTACTGAACTAGTAGTCCGGAAATGGGGTGTCAGGTATGAGAAATTATTTGTCCTTATGTGTGTCAAATATCAATGTTTGGATTTGCAGGCATTTACTGACTTATTATTTTATGCGTAATGCTTCTAAGTTGGCAGGTTTTCATATTAGAAGCTTTTACTCACTGGTTTAATTTTTATAATAGGTACACTCTTGCCATACCCTGACATGGGTGCAACCCTAGGCATTGAAATCTTCATTGTATTCCTGCTGGCTTTCTTTGAAGGTGTTAGAATCTTTCTTGGTATGTACACTGCACATCTGGTTCCAGTTGTTTAAAAGGTGAATAACGTTAACTACTGTATAAGTCACTATCCAGTGGATAGCTCAATTGATTTCTTTAATACTTATGTCCGCTGGATGGTGATTTCCAGTGGATAACATTATCCAATGTTTGAACAACTGGAGCCTGAATATTAATAATGTGTAAGGGGACTAAACATGAATGAAACGTTATTACCAGGTCCCCACTTTTCAAATGTTGGGTATCGCTATCCAATTGATAAGTATTTAGGGAAACCAATATTATTGTGTTATCCACTTGATGGAGATTTTTGGACTGGATAGCATTATCTGCCTTTTTTGAACAATGGGACCAAGGTTCCCTATCTGATGAAAAATTCAATTATGGTAATTTCACTTCATAGTAAATAAGATTTTTCATATCTACCAAAATGCAGCATCATCACCATTTAGCTAAACTGCATCCGCAGCCTTTAACCTAAACAGCTTCCAAGACAAACCTGTGATCATGTCAGCAAGCTTTCCTCATTTCCATGCAAGTAATCAGTTCATTGACCAGACTGAATGTTAGTGCCCTATATTTTAACAAATCAATAGGGTGAATTGGCTCAAGACCTCAGTTATGGTATTGCATCCAGACCTTTTTCATTCATTTTATCGTAGGGTATAAGGGAAACCTAGCAGAGCGTACTTTATCACTGGCCCTGTCATTGGTGCTTGGTATTCCTGTGCTATTCATTCACTTGTTCATCCTACTGTGGCAGACATATGTGTAAGTAGTACTTAGTAGGTTTTCAGGGGCAGATCTGTTGGGGGGGACACTTCCATTGTATTGTTTGACTTATTTTTTGGCCAAGATAACACCTGCAGGGGTTGAAAAAATATATAATTTCTCTCAGCTGACCCCCTTTTTTCATGGTCCGCATGAGTGTACCTCCCCCACCACCACCACCACCACCACTCACAGTAGGTCGAGATCTGTCACTTTTTTTGTTTTTGTTTAGTTTTCTACTTTGTTTGTTTGTTTGTTAATTTTTCAATGCCATTGCCCAATAAGATCAGTTTGACCTCAACTCAGGGATTCCTTTCAGTTCTTATTCATGGAATGCACATAGAAAAACTCAAGTGTTAGAACTGTGTAACTTTGGTAGATTTGGTCTGATCAGTGAATTATGCAAGGCTTCTCAGAGTTTCTGACCAGTCACAGCTTTTGTTGAAGTGTTAAATTCAATAAAAATCAAAACTGATGACCATTATAATTGAAAAAGTATGGGTTTCCATCAAATTTAATGCATCAAAATAACGGCTATCATTTTATTTTATTCCAGTTGCCTATATCACCTTATTTGTTTGCTTTTTTCTGTGATTTAGATTGAGAATAGAAGCAGTTCTTGTAAGTATAGCCTTAGTTCTCCTTGGACTGGAAATGATCTTCAGCATTGCGGCTGTTTTTACTTTTAAGAGGTAAAATATCAAACTAACCTCTTGAGTTGTCGTTGTTATTGTTGTTGTTGTTTGTTCTCTTCAAAGATCCTGCAATCTCATCACTCGCGAGACTATACCTGCCAACTCTCACGCCTTAGGCGTGAGTCTCACGCCTGCGGGTTGAAAACTTCGATCTCACGCCCGCTCACGCCTGCGGACCAATTTCTCACGCCTGATTGAAAAATGTGAGTTGTTGCCGTCTTGCTGGACACAATTTCCAAAAATATGTTAACTCAGACCCATGTAAGGAACGAAAACCATGTGTAAAATGAATAAATGACAATACCTTCCTCGCGATCTCTGATTTTGTGGATAAGCGTTTTCTCGATAACTTCGCCTTCGGCAGACTTCGGACGTCTTCGGCAGACTTCGGACGTCTTCGGAAGACTTCGGACTTCTTCGGGAATCTTCGGAAATGATCGTGTCGTTTTCAAAAATCCCAGCACTCCCAGGATAAAAATCTCACGCTTATATCTCAGAAAAAGTTGGCAGGTATACGAGACTCGCCATATTTTCTGCCGGTTGTCATCCCCTAGTGCTGGTGTTGTGAAGATATAGGACGCTGTTACATTTCTTCTTCCCTCTTTTTTCTTTCAGACATCAAACTATGCTGCGGTGATCATTAATGGTTAACTTCACAAACCGGCCATCCAGGATGTTCTTAATAAGTCCTCGAGCTTTTAAGCCGTCAAGCACAATGAGCAATTTCGTAAAACGCCTGCTTATGAATTTGGCTTTAATCATTGAGACATTTGTGGAGCCAAAATAGCGCTTGAAACATAAGATCATCAAAATCTCTCGAAACATCCCTATAGCAACAGAGAAGGATGGTGGCGGCTGTGTATTTTATGGGCTATTATGGTCAAGACAGATAAGAAAATGAAGTTTTAAAAGTAGAATTTTTACGATAATAATTCACTAACAAAGTCAAAGATAGGATTCAAAGTCAGTGTTAGTTATATTTAAATCCCCTTTTGAGGGAATATAACTACCTCTTCAAAGTTTGAGGTTCAATTTTTTTGCATGCCAGCCAGGTCGTTACTCTTAAATCGAGCGAAGTTAAAAAAAAATTACTTAGTTTTCAACACAGATGTAATGGGGAACACTTTAGTGATGAAACATCAGGGGCAGCCAACCACTGTTTTCTGTAAATATCTGTTCAGCGAAGGAAAAATTGCCGAGAATTTTCTATGGCTTGAGGAAGGCAAAAAATTTATAGATGGCCATTCCATTCATGTAAAATTTTCAAAGCTTCCCTTACATTAAATTCCGACGATTTTCGAAAGTTTAATTTTTTCTTATTTCACCCCCCAGGTTAAGCTTTTTTTCTTTTAAGAAAAAGAAATCTAAATTTTTCGGATTCGGAAATGCGATGGAGAGAGCTGGAATCAGAAAAATCCTCACTTTCGTAAATTTTCGGGAAAGTAACACTGAAGCCCTTGTAGTTTCGAAAGACTCAAGTTACCATAGGAAGACCGAACAGATACAAATTTTCTAGCGCCACTTAAAATGCATTTCTAGAGATCGAAAAGTACTCTGGATAGCATAAAAAGTGTTTTCAAGGCATTTAGGAGAAAACCGTCCTTGGGTGCCGCTGAAATGATGTTTCCATGTACTTCTTCTAAGTCAAATGTTCAATTCTTTAAATACGCTCAAAAAGGCGATTCTCTTTTATTCTCATTCTGGAATAAGCTCGATCGAATGTTTTCTGGAATAAATAAGCAAAAAGGAAGAATTCCCGTCATAGAGAGTCACAGTATAAAAGTTTGAAGAAGCGCGCGCGTTCCAATTGGCATAATCTTCATTACTATTGTGACGCAAATGTGTGATTTTAGTGAACAGTTTTCCTGAATTTCCGCTGTTGTTGCCACTGGGTATAAGTTAAAGAACTTTGAGTCTCGAAACTTAACAAAAGTTGGCCAGAGACGAAGTTAGCCCCACAAAACTTGTTGGCAAAATGTCAAGTTTTCTACCGTCAATCAATAACGTTAGAAAGAGCTCTCTTATTGCTGCGGAAAGAATCTACTCAACGAAGAATTACTTAGAATCAACAGCAACCAATGGACGTTTAGGGAAAAAGAGACGCGGAGAGAAGAAGAGCAAGAAACTGACATCTTCCTCGACAGAAAATCCTCACAAAAAAGCGGAAAGAACAAAAGAATACTCTCGAGAACTGAAAACAAGAAACGAAAAGGCCAAAGTGGCGCGAGAAGAAAGCTTAGTTCGGCTAAAAAATCAGAAAGAACTACGAGAGAAGGGGTTGCGTGAAAAGAAGAGATTAAATGAGCTGTTTTCGGTTTACGCAGCTCAACATGGTCCTTCTTACAGAGACGGTGCGAAAGTCGTCAAACCAAAATTCCCGGTTTTGTTAAAGAGTACCAAGAGTAGTGCTATTTCTCGTGAAAAGATCCCATGTAGCCCTCTTCCAAATTTATCATCTGTGAATAGGTTAGAATCTCAAGAATGATTCCCTTTGTTAGGAAAGTTAACGTGTGAGCTTTGCGTAGAGAAGTAAAGTCAAGTGATTTTAACTGAAGAGGGGTGAATTGTTAGTGACAAACCCGTCCTTACTTAATTCTCCCGCTATAAATTTAATATTCATTGTTATCTTGAAGCTTATTTGTATCAAACGTTCGTTATGGTTGTTAAGTAGAGAGGCGAAGATGTATTCTCAGAAATAAAAGGTATCTTGTGGAAGAGAGTTCGCCTTAAAGACATGATAAAGATAAATTATGTCGTGTCATAAGACCTTAAAAACTTGGTGTGATCAAGTGTTTTAAAAGCAATGTCACGACAGTTTTCGAAGTTGTGGTGACTTACCAACAAAGTCGCAGGAGCTGCCCAAGCCGAAATATGGGGGGGCGAGAAATTCGAATACATAGCGCAGTAGGAAATCACAGGGCGGTATACGCCCCTGTGTATCTGAAAAACTGAAAGAAGGGTAAAAGGGGTAAAACAAAACGGATAAAAGAGAATAAAATAACAAAAAAGAAAACGACTAAGCCCTATATGTTTCTTGAATCTTTTAAAAGATCGACCCTCAGTCCCCATGTGTGCCCCTTTTCGGCAGGTCCACCCTTACTCCCCAGGTGTGTCCCCCTTGGAGGGTCCACCCTTAGTCCCCACGTGCACTCCTTAATGCTTTTAGATCCTTAAGTTATTGGGGGCTTTCATAAGGGGGGCTAGCAGAACATAATAATAATATTTCTCTTGGCACTACGGGTAAAACAAAACGGATAAAAGAGAATAAAATAACAAAAAATAAAACGACTAAGCCCTGCATGTTTCTTGAATTGGTGCGCTCCTTTTCGGCAGGTCCACCGTTAGTCGCTAGGTGCGCTCCCCCTTGAAGGGTCCACCCTTGGTCCCCAGGTGTATCCCCCTTGGAGAGCCCACCCTTGTTCCCACGTGCACTCCCCCTTGAAGGGTCCACCCTTAGTCCTCAGGTGTATCCCCCTTGGAGGGTTCACCCTTAGTCCCGAGGTACGTTCCTCCTCGGCAGGTCCACCCTTAGTCCCCAGGTGTGTCCCCCTTGGAGGGTCCACCCTTAGTCCCCAGGTGCACTCCCCCTTAATGGTTTTAGATCTTTAAGTTATTGGGGGCTTTCATAAGAGGGGGGCTAGCCTAGAACATAATAATAATATTTCTCTTGGCACTACAGGTTTCTTTAGAAAACGCTTTTGGGCCAGTTAATGGAGATTAGTCAGTGTTCAACAAAGTTGCATTCTATGCCATTTTCAATTTGCCAAACGTTTTTTGTAAACAACATTTATCGTGAACAGTTTTATAAAAGCATATAGTGTAGAGAAGAAAAGCATTTATCTCGTTAAAATAACCCACTACAAAAGAGATCTGGAGCCAGTCCAAAGATTTCCTAAACTGCCGTCTAAGTTGGACTTCGTTTTAACAACCAACCATTTGAGTTTCACCGCCACCTATTTACAGTGGAACTAAAATCTTTACAATAACTGCAGGAGAAGTAGAAACTCAAACAAATTTTCATTTAGAACCCCATGAGTACCAGATTTTTTGTAAACACAAAAAAGAATAATGGGAAAGACAGGGAAACAGTCAGTCGAGCTATCGCCCTTGAGATACGTGAAATTCACATACAAATGCTTGAATTAATTGGAAGATGAATCTGAAGAGGTCCCCAGAAATTTATTCAGTGTTATCAAGAGAAAATTCAACAGCCACCATTACAACATTCTGCATTGTTTGCTTTGAGGCAGTTGTGCATGTATTTGATGACATTTCAAATAATCACTATCGGTATATTAAAATATGCAGACATTTCAGGAATTAGACTTCTGTTTAATTACAACGTAAGCAAAATTCACATATCCTATTTACATAACACCACCACAAAATGTCATGCCAGCACGAGTCACCCAGGTGTGAGTTCACCCCGGTTGTTGCACCGTAGCCTGCGTAGCAAGCGTTTCCTCGCGAGGTTCGTCTAGAAAGCTGGGACAAGAGCAAAAAAAATGAATGACGGGGAAGGGGGAGGGGAACGAAGGAACCGCTTGCCCGCAAACCCCACGATTTTGAAAAACTGCGTTCGCCCACGAACGCAGCTTCTGATTGGCGCGGTGCGTGTAGTGTTGATTACTTAGTATTCAAAACATCAATCAAACCAGGTATACTTTGTTTTCATGCGTCACAGATCTGGTCTCATCTGATTTGTGGTCGCAGATTACAAATGCAGCGGACTGATTTTTATTGGAATCGTGTTTGTGGGAAGGTTTATGAGATCAGAGTCTTCAAAGTATAATTGGAGATCGAGCAGTGGAGACTAGGGAAGGCCAATTTACTGGGAATGGCGGCGTGCGGATCTGACTGGAAAAAATGGACTGTTTGTTGGAGATAACATCAACATAAATCAGAACATCTGTACTCGACACTAGCTAAAGGCGCCATAGACAAGCGATTTGTCAGCTTTTTGAAATGAAAAGATTCTTTTTGTTTATTGGAAATTTAGCGGCATCTATTGTAGAGAACGTTTCGACACAGGCTGAAGAGCAGCCACTCTGCAAAACTTAGTCCACTTATAGCCGGCGGAGTGAATTGTTCCGGACAAATCATCTTTGACGTGTCGACAAGGTTTCAGATGAGATAAAGCCACACAAGAAAAAACAACAAATTCCGCAGCAATCGCTCATAGTTTTAACTTTCTTTTATCGTAAATCTTTTTTGTTACAGTTCTTACAATCGCCTGCAACGTGTTCTATTAGAGAACAAAGTAATTTTACATATCTGGTAATCCAGGGGTAATCTGTTCGTTATGTTTCTATTTTGACGAGCTGTCAATTTACAAATGAACCGAACCGTGAAATATCAAGGGGCGTTTTCCAGAATCGTGGGGTTTGCGGGCAAGCGTTTCCTCTTCTCCCCTCCCCCTCCCCCTTCAACCTTTTTTTGCTTACGCTCTAACTTTCGCGCAATAACTCGATTGGAAACGCTTGCTACGCAGGCTAGTTGCACCGTGGTGAGAATTTCACTCCGGTAGGAAATCTCGCAATGTTATCATGTAAATGCAAAACGACTAGAGATTTCGTTGGGAAATAGGTCTGCTGGTGGACTGGAATGGGCAGCGCATGCGTAATGGTTGCGATTTTGAATCACAAGTATATTTTATTGACATGAAATATACCTTCAAATAACGAGATATGAAATGACGCAGTCATCATGTAAACGGGATGCAAAATCAAAAAGTCATCCGGGAATGATACTCGCGCCAGTGCGAATTTCCTCATGTAAACACCCCCTAAGATTTCCCATCTGTCCCATTAATCTCTCTTGGTAAACAATGATTTTCGTCACCAAGCACTGACATCTCTCCTGCAAAACCTTCCTTGAGACGAGGACAAAGGAGAGACGGGTTGGGCAGGATTTTTCCAGTAAGGATTCCATCTTCTTCAGCTGTGAGAGCAAGCCCCCCACCTCCCATCAGCTCTTGAAGATTTGATTGTTTGCAAACTCTGTCAAAACATGTAAAGCCCGACTCTCTTTTTTCCCCCACACGGCCAGGCTGTTTTATTCACTACGTACAATTTATCTTTGTGTACAAAAAGGGATCACAAGCAGTGAATGGCCTTGTTTGGTTGTGGATAATATTATTTTAAAAACAATCCACAAACTGCATTAACTAAACAGTTTGATTTTTCCATGGGCTTGCAACATCTTACATCATGGAGGTGCTGGCCTATAAGAGAGCATACTTTTTAAAAGAGAATTAATAGTTCACTTTAAAAGTAGCTTTTATGTTAACACCAATTTAAAAACGACAAAATATCTTTAGGGATTTCATGCTGTTTCATGTTCTCAACAGAAAAGTACTTTCGCACTGCAACACGGCAGAGGACCTTTAACCTTGTTGGTGAGTTTTTCATTTTATAGACCAAAAGATTAGAGACATCTTGGCTTATATCTTGTGCATTTACATGGCAACAGTGTGTCACCAGTAACAGGTGACCACTAGATGAAATAGTACAGCTTGTGTAATTTTCTGTCCCAGTTTTGTGACAGATTTGTAACACATTCTCTGCTTCAAATGGTGCTTCACATTTAGAAAAATTAAGTGTATGTTTTGAAAAAACTGAAAATTGCCTTTGATCTTTGCCAAAACCACTCTGAGGGATCATGAAGTAATTGTCATGAGGAGATAACAAGAGCTCATATGCAGCCAAAGATGACTCGCTGGAAGGGCCAATGTTAATTTTATGTAGAAGGTGACCCAAAGTGTCCCATATTAACACTGCCTTGAAGTCTTCAAAATCAATACCCAATTGATGGCCATCAGTGTTATGCATTTGAATTTGCTGACCACTGCAGAGAGCCAGGAAGAACTCTCCTCCGGTGGAATATTTTGCATCGGCAACAAAGTGAAAGCCTTTCAGCTGTACCTTGGCAGTAACAGTGAAAGAACTCATGTCAACAAACACTAAACCAATATAAAACACATAAGACCCTCGTCCAATCACAGCCATGTTCTTCAGATCTGGATTGAAATCCAACAATCTCCAGCAAAAGGGAACATTATTTAGCTCTACGGCACTGCTGCTAATGTGATTGGTACAGTCAACTTGCCATTCAAAATGTCCACAATTGGAGTTTATATAGCTGCTGGCTTCTTTAACTGCCATTTCATACAATATGAAATCCCCATCATTAAAAATAACACCCAACCAGTAGCGTCCAGCACAAAGAGCTGATACCTTCAAGAACCGAACACTTGTACCGCACTGAAAATTCCCTCTGTTCTGAAGATTGCACCCATCTAATGTCACCTCCATCGTTTCCTGCAGCACTTTTGACTCTTGGAACTTGTGATCACAGGGGCAAGAAAATACATAGAGACCACTTCGAAAGTCTTCTAAACGAGCGAAGACGTTCAACAGCGGATAACCACTGGTCTGTGTTAAATCGCAAACAATTTCGAGAACAGGACAAGGGAACACTAAGACGTAACCAAGTTCTGTTTCTGTCTCTCCAGTGTCCATGTTCAAAAGTTTCAAGTTGATTTGTGCCTTTTTTGACGCCCCCCGATTAAAGTCATTTTCCATAAAGACTGAAGTGTGGGCTATGGCCACAACATTGACATTTTCCCGTGTTAACCAAGCGACTTTGTCGTTAGTTTTGAAGTAAAATGGAACTTGTGCTTTCGCAACCAACTCGAGAGCGGCCGGGTCCGCCATGTTTTACGTTGTGCGTTGTAAACACAGAAACCCGATACTCTCTGCTGACCTTTCTCTTTCACACTAGCCTGGATTCCTGTTAATAAAATGTCTTCGATTGATTAATACTGCTGTTGGATCAATTGAACAACAGTGATTTGAAACATATTTTTATACCCGGGGTACACATGAGTCAGCGTTATGTTTTTGTAAAAGTTCCCTTTTACTGTCCGTGAGTAGAAGCCTGGACCAACAGGGGAGGGGAGAGAGTCGGGGGGAGACCCTGCCGTTCCCTAGACTTGCTACAAGTCGACCTCTTGGCATAGGCGTACGGGCAATTTTTTGCCAGGGGGGGGGGCGGTAAACCATTTGCCCAAAAAATTCTCGCAAGTTGCCCAAATTTTTACGAAACAATAAACAAACAATAATGTAGGCCGTACTGGCATATGAAGGTGGCTCGATGCTATGTTTTTCAGGGTCAATACCTCCCAATTTTGAGGATAACTACGTCGCCATAGACAAACATTTGGAAAAATTGCTACCATAGTTTTATTAGATAAAGATGAAAATTTATCATGAGCAGGGTTTTAATGACATCGGAATTGTCATAGCAACGAAATGACGCCATTGTCTATTTTACTTGCAGCAATATTCCTCGGCACTGGGAACTGTTCCGACAAAATTGTTCACGGGAGCTTTTTTCTCCAATAGTCGCCTCGATGTTCGTGAAGTTAAAAAGGAATCTATAGGAGTGTTATTGGGATATTTTGGGATTAAGTTTTTATCGTTATAAATATGGTTAAAAAAAATCTTGATGTTTGGCCGTTATTTGTAGAAAACGAAGCTCTTTTGACATGCAATTTAACCTCATGGTAGCTTCAATCTTTTTAAAAACGTGTGTAAAAGATATGATCATCGAGATAGCTCCGGCCGATTGCTAGAGACAAGGATTTCATTAGTATCGAGGCGCTCTTGTTAGCGGTTTTGTAAACATTTCGGTCTACTTTAACAACTTATTGCTTGATAGATTTTTAAACAAATTTAATATTCTTCTCGTAATTCGAGCTGAGTACTAGTCAGCCACTTCTTCATTTTCACACCCACTGTTGCTGATGCTATCTGCCATACACTGTTCTACAAGCGGAGATGATTCTAGAAAGATATGCGGAAGTTTATTCTAATCAATTCACGACTGGAAAGAGCCCATTCCAGTCAGAGTAGTGCAGTACAGTGCTCAACAAAAAAAACCTATAAATAGGTAAATCAACAAATGATACCCTTCCCGAAAAACCAGAAACTCATCACGTGCTAGGAAACCACTGTGAGTGTCTCAAGAGAAAGTAACTGGATTCTTACGCTGACTTCAGGATTTTTTCAGTTTAAAATAGAAAATATTTGTCTTTTTAGACTAATAAAAAAACATGGAAACGTCTTTGAAAACTGGCTTTGCCCAAATTTTCTCTTGCTGCCCAAAAAATCTGAGTTGCCCAAAATTTGGGGGGGCTGCAGCCCCCCTCGCCCCCCCGGCCAGTACGCCTATGCCTCTTGGCGAGCGGAGCGAGCATTGTTTGGCGACGAAGTCGCGAGAGGTCTTCGTCCCGCGCCATATGAAATCCGACGAAGGACTTTTTTGAAAGTCTACTAGCCCTAAGTATCAACTGGTTCCTTTCACAGTTCTTTCACTGTAACTGCCAAGGTGCAACTGATAGGCTTTCACTTTGTTGATGGTGCGAGACTGCCACTGGAGGAGATTTCTTACCGCCCTTTAGTAGCTGCGGGTGAGAGAAGGATCCACAAAACCTTTCCCACAGCAAGAACAAAGTCATCCGTTCCTTTTTTCTGTTGACGGGAACGGGAAAAGGTCTTATGGTAGAATTAGGCAACAAGAGCCTCAAGTCTAAAATATTAACAGTTATATATAAGATCAATTAATCTTTATCAAGAAAGGGAACCAATCATCCACATCAACCACTGCACAAACGCGTAGCATCCACTCGCCAGGGTCGGTCAGGGTTTTTGGGTAGTACAGTATATTGATCGATGAGGTATTTAATTTCAGGTATACAGTATTTTTATGCTTAAAAATGGGTATTAAGTATTCCCTCACGACCAATTTTGGGTATAAAGTATACCTTGTTTTTCTTAATTTGGTATTTTACACGAGTTTTGTATAATATTTGGTATATTGGAAGGTTTATTTCGGGTATTTGGGTATTCCACTACCCCGCCTGGCCGACCCTGACTCGAGAAGCAAGCGACAAAGCATTTTTTAAAAAGTTTGCTCAACTTCATTTTATTTTTGCATAAATACACAATTCCCTTGGAAGAGACTAGAGGAGGTATATCGCCTCCATACCAATCAGAAGCTTCCGTTAGCCGGATACTCATCAGACATATACCCATGCAGGAGCCCATCACTGAGATTGCGCCATAGCTATAGCGCTTACGGTAGGAACTCCCTCGCGGTTTTATTGCCATACGCGCGCACCGGAGAAAAAGGAAGGTCTGTTAGAAACTAGCTTATCCCACCAACTACGCAGGCTAACCACAAACAAACAAACAAACAAAACTTTATTAATAAACAAATAAAATTACGGTGAAATTACTGAAGTATTGCCCGCAGAAAGCAAGTCCGAATTCGAGGCGGGATAGCCTGCGAAAACATCTGTTTCTCCTCGCTCTTCGCCGCAAACGGATGTTTTCCCAGGCTAGAGGCGGGACAATGCATGTAAAATACGAAACTATTAAAAACTGACTAAGGCCATTAACTAAGGAGCAGCAGACACAGCGCAAAGACTACCTGGACATGCTGGATCTCGTACCCAGATTTCTTACAAGTTATATTGAGACGGAAAGCTACTTCGTCACCGAACATATTTATTTTTACAGAACTAAAGACATTGACACCCACCATAGCGTGCGCAGATCAGAGGACAACACTCACGTCATTGGCTCACAATCTAGCCAATCAGAAAAATTGAATTTTCTCACTTGACCAATAATACACGTTGTAATGATCAGTTTTACAGTATTTACATGACGGCCGAGAGAACTGTCGCTAGATATACAAATTTTTCGACACCCGTAAATAATTAATCTTGACTGGTAGCTTTGCTTGTATATACAAAATAGAAGCGACATGGAGTATAAATTTTTTCCTTGCCAAAAAAACTGTGACCCCTCCCCCGGTTGAGAATAAAACAGGTTTGACCCTCCCCAATTTGTAAACAACAGACTAAAAGGACCCTCCCCTCCGAACCCCCACCACCCTCCCAACAAAAAACGTGCCTTCCCTTACAGCTCTCTGGCCGTCATGTAAATGCCGGGTGTAAATGCCACGTCACGCAAAAGCTTAGAAATTCAAGGTTATGGGCTCCTGCTCTAACTGACAACCAAAAAACCTTTCAAAGCAAAGATTTGTGTGAAAATTAGTTTTCAGCTGCTCTAATACATCATGAAAGTAAAATCTCAGTAGTATCGATAGGTTTTGTAGTTTGAATCTAACAATAAAGCATTGTTGGACACCCCCCACCTTTCCCAGGTAGCGATGAAAAAAGGATTGTGGGCTGATATGGCGAATGGAAGGTGTCGTTTATATGGCATTTTGTTATTGTGTTTAACTACTCAAGCATCAAAGGGATCCCGTGCAAAAGACCTCAATGTACTCTTTATAGTTTCGGACGATCTTAGACCGTCTCTTGGTAGTTATGGGAATGAGATCGTACGAACACCCAATCTGGATAAGTTGTCAGAGCGTTCGGTTCGATTCACAACAGCAGCATCTCAGGTAGCGGCTTGCGCTCCGAGTAGAACTTCTTTCCTGACTGGCAGAAGACCTGACACTACCAAGCTCTTCTCCAACAAAAATCCTACTTACTGGAGGGATAGTGTTGGAAATTTCACCTCGCTTCCACAACACTTCAAGAACGCTGGTTATCAAACTGCTTCTGTTGGCAAGATTTTTCACCCAGGTAGAGATCACAAATTAATATGTCTCGGAGGTGACGTAGATGGAGCTAGGGATCCAGATTTTACCCGTGTTCACTTAATAACTTGAATGGAATATCAGTGAGCAAAGAATATGTCTTTGCCTGTGTACTGACGCCTCCTCTCCTCAAGAATAAATCGGGAGAGAGAATCTCTCTCTCTATCCCCGATTTTTTAGGAGAGGGGGCCTCTTTTGAATAGGCTAAATACGTATGGGACCAGGGTCAAATGCAGTTCCTCATGTTTTGTATTATGAAAACCTACATTGTAGTTAAATCTAGTTAAGTTAGTGTGTCATGTCGGTAGTAATAGAAATCAGGGTTACATAAGCTGCGGGGCTTTTGCTCCGGCTTAGAACGTCGACAAGGTGTTTCTCAGGCACCGGACTACCGCGTAATGAATTAGACGTTTTTGTGACAAATTAAAGGTTAGGAAACTGAGAGAATCAAGTTCCTGTTCAGTTTGCCCTGTACAATGACTTGATTCACTCAATTTCGTAACTTTAATATGTAAACTTCATAGTGATCCGGCGCTCGGCGGCCGTTCGGCGTACAACAAAAATACCCCAGCTACCATTAGAAAGTTACCGGTAGCCACATTATTTGAGATATATTTCCACTATCATTCGTGATCTAGCGCTGATCAGGCCCCGATTTAGCCTCCCTCGCAGACGTCCTTAACCGTTACGTCTTCGTCACGCGTTCCTAAGAAAAGTGTGAGGAATCGAAGCGACTTTGGTTTTTTTATACCCACATAAAAGAAACCCTGCGTCGTGAAGGGTAGGGGACGTAGACCTCGGTAGTGTGGTAAAACAAACAAACAAAAACCTAGCCTGCGAAAACATCCCGGTGTTTCTCCTCGCTCTTCGCCGCTGGGGACGTTTCGCGCGGAAACGTCCACAGCGGCGAAGAGCGAGGAGAGGGGATATAAAGATATTTTTAGATTTTCTTTTTTTCCCAGGACAATAACTGAATGGAACAAACTTCCAGAAGAAACTGTTTCCAGCCAATCCCTCTGTATTTTTAAAAGCAAACTAATTTAGTTTTCTTAGTTTTCCTTTTATCGGTAGTTTTTTTTTAATAGTTTTCAATACTTTCTTAATAGTTTTTAATAGTTTTGTATATTCTAGTATAGTTTTATTTATTATTATCTTAGAGTTGCGTGATGTCCCAAACGATTTTGCCGACATAACGATATTTAGATTTAGATTTAGATGTTTTCGCAGGCTAACAAAAACCAACAACAACAAAACACGTAAACAGGGACGAATGTATTTATTGCATGACGGCTATATGCGTTAACCAATTTCTACTGATTTCTGATTTTTTAGGAAAATCATCCAACTTCACTTATGATTACCCTTACAGTTGGTCTTTGCGACCTTATATTCCATCGACGGAGAAGTTTAAGAACGCGAAGGTGAGTTTGGTTTAGTCAATTCTTACCGAAAAAGCAATGCTTCTTAACAGCTCTCTGATTTAAAGGAGACTGTGTGAGGAAAAACAGCATACAAAACTACGTAGACTTGCCACAAGTCTACGCGCCGAAGACGTGAGGGATGCTCGCGAAGCGAGTGACGTAAGTCGCAACCGGAAAAGGGCTTTGAGAAAGTCTAAAGACTACGCTGAAATATGGTTACTTATTGAACTAAGAATAAATTGTTCTAGTCAAGGGCCGTGTCGAAGTTTAGATATATCAAGTTTGCTTCCAATTTTCATCTGTTCATTCCCTATTTTAAGAAATCCTCGTCAACTTGGGAACTTGAACGTGACGTTTGCCATAACGGTCCCGTTTCATTCGACCCGTTCCCAGACACTTTGTACTGACGCTGGATACCAGAGGTTTTTCCTGGCGTGCGGTGAAATTTGTCGGTGTCGGTCGAAGGGCGACACGACACGGCGTTTTTGGCAGCGAAGCGGTTCACTATAAAAATGGAGTTTAGGGCCTGCCTAGTATCCAGACATCTCTCTCTCGATGAAAATTGGCTTTACCCTTCCCAAGGTCCCTTGCGCGTCATCACCAGTCACTCGCGTTTCGCGCTCGTCTCTCAGTGTGAAACCATGCGAAAAACGAAGCGCCTTAGGAGGAGGTTTAGTCTGCTACACAGCCGTTTTTAGTGTTGTCACGCAACGCTCCTCCTCCTAATATATGGAACAGTCAACGGCGAACTCAAATTCATTCAAAATCGCTCAAAAAACCGCTTTTGAGGCAAAAGGACGACCATACACCACAGGTAAGGTAATTCAACGTTTATTTATCATTGATTTATATACGTAGTTAGCGACATATCGCTATAGGTGAAGCAAACGGTAAATCCAGTACATTTACTATAAAATAACAATCGGCTACACAAACCTATTGGGTGGGCTCCCTGTGCTAATAAGCTCAAAAAGCATGCATGGCGCACGTGAAGAGTTCAGAACAAAACGAAATGAATCAGGGTCTAAGAATAAGGTTTAAAGGGAAGCGAAATGGACAATTTTGTCTTAAACAGGGTCAGGGTTTGAGGGCCTGGTCGGCAAATCTCTACCCAAACTTAATTCCCTTTACTCAATTACTGCCTTCTGGGGGGAGAGGGTAAAACACCGCAGCGCTGCCCACTCGTTTGTGTGACATTTATTCGCAAACATGTGACATGCCTCTCTGATGTTTTTCACTTTAAGGTATGTCCAGGAGTAGATGGAAAATTGCACACAAACATTGTATGTCCAGTTGATGTGTCACAACAACCAGAAGGAACATTGCCAGACATTCAAAGCACTAAATTTGCAATAAACTTCTTGAAGAATTACTCATTGTCTCAAGATACGGCCGTTAATCAACAACCGTTCTTCCTGGCTGTCGGATACCACAAACCTCACATTCCCCTGAAATACCCCAAACAATTTCTAGACCTGTACCCTCTGGAGAAGATACATATCGCATCTGATCCCTTACTTCCTGAGGCTATGCCATCAGTAGCTTACGAGCCATGGACTGATATCCGCTGGAGAGATGACATCGCAGATCTGAATCTGAGTTTTCCTTATGGACACATGCCTGATTTACACGCCAGGAAGATCATTCAGAGTTACTTTGCAGCCACAAGTTATCTGGACAGTTTGATAGGAGAGCTTCTGGATGCTTTACAAGAGTATGGTTTTGCTAATAACACTATTGTGAGCTTTATCGGAGATCACGGTAAGTCTGAATTTCATAAAGCTCTGTGTAAACGTAGAATCACCTTGAAATCTGTTGAGTGTCTCAGCCACATACTGGCCAATTGGAGCATTTCTAATAATTGGTTTTTACTAAACTGGTGAAATGGGCACCCTTTGTCAATTGTAACAATCCCCCATTGCATACAAAAGACCTTGTTAGCTTGTATGTTTAGTTTTCCCACTTGAGACCACGTTACGGTACCCCAGACAACTGTTTCTTTCAAATGTCGTCATATGCATGCTTATGTCCACGTGCTTATGTATGCATAATTTATGAAAAGACAAATTCCCTGGAGAATATCACTTGGTCTGAATTGGGAAAACAAAACACACGAGCTGTAAGGGTCTATTGCCACATTACTATGTTCCAAACCCTTTAGCCTGGATACCTGTACACCTTGTTTTTACTACCTAACTTAAGTTTTCTACACTGCATTCGAATGAGACTGTCAGCCAGGCTATAATTCTTGTTTATGGAGGCTGTTTGGAAGAAACAACTCTAGAAGACAGTATTAAGTAATATATCCCTGAATTCAATTTCCAAGGTTGGGCCTTAGGCGAGCACTTGGAATGGGCGAAATACAGCAATTTCCGAGTGGCTACTAATGTACCCCTGATGGTACATATGCCTGGTTTAACTGACAGAAGAGATAAAGATTTAAATGGCATACAGTCTGCGGGCAAGGCGTCCAATGCACTTGTGGAATTGGTGGATTTGTTTCCAACTCTTGCAGATCTGGCAGGGATTGAAATACCGAGTAAGTGTTTCTTCCAGTCCGTATTTCATGTACACCCTAGCCTGTAGACAGACATTTGTGTTCGTTTCAACAATTCCGCAGTGTGCGAGCATAACGAGCACGCGAGAGCAGGTGTGCGAACGAGGCCAATAAATCCCCCTCGGAGTTTATTTCCACACCCACGCTCGACGATCCTTAAAGAAAAAATAGAGGTTGTGGGAACAGGCTATGTACACCCATAATTACATCAAAGCTTGGCCTTGGTTGTTCAAATAATGGATTGCGCTATCCACCAGAAAAATCACTATTCAGCGGATAAGTATTAAAGAAACCAATTGCATCATGCATTAGATAGAGACTTATCCAGGAGATTGCATTATCCACTATGAACAACTGGAGCATGGTTTTTACCATAGCAGGCCTTGTTCAGTTGGAAGAATGCTGGCCTAGAGACCACATGGTCAAGGGTTTGTACCCTTGGGCCGCACCAATACTCAGGGTCTTAAGATATCTGAGAATAATAGGTTCTGCCTTTGCCCTGCAAATGGTCGTGTTCAGTGCTCGGTGGCCACATGGAATTGACAGTTCCATCTGTCTCTAGTAAACAGTGCCTTCAATTAGTATACATCGACTCTTACATAAAATAAGTTTGCAAGTAGCGAAAGCACAGCGCTAGGGCAAGAGTTTTGTGTCAATTAAAGATGAAAGCAGATGCAAGTACCCTTCTCAAACTCAAAGGCACAGCGGCTCCTGATCATATTGCTTCATTTGAAAAAATAATATTCTAATGATACATTCCACAGCTTTTTGTCCAGAGAAATCATCCAACATGACCCTGTGTTCAGAGGGACTTAGTTTTGCCCCGCTCTTAATGAACCCCACCATGCCATGGAAGAAAGCTATCTTCAGTCAATACCCAAGGTACTAGTAAATTATATTTAAAAAAAGCGTATTGACATACATTTTTTGTTCATTTACTTCTCTAACCGAGGGTTTTAATTAAGGGTTTAAACCACGTATCATAAACGACAGGAGAGTTAAAAAGGGTTTATACTATGGAGAGAGAATGAAACTTCAGGGGCGTTGCTAAAACTCAGCCTGTGACCAGGCTCCCAGTTAGGAAAAAGGCGAAAAAACACTTGGCGTTTTTTTTCCTTTTGCCGTGTCACCTTGTTTTTTGCCTTTCCCTCTACTACAGAGCCTGGTCCTAGACTAACCAAAACTTATTACCGCTAACACTACCATTTTGTTTCAGTACAAATTAAAATCAATTCCTAATAGAAAAAAAAAATAAACAGCCTCTTTTCTTTCTCTGTATCTTATGCTGCAAGTAATATGGAAACCAAGAAATTTCACAACAATTCATTATTATACTTATTTTCCAGAGTTGTGCTAGAAAACTTCCCGAGTTTTCCAAAAAAGGTAGAAAAATAATTTTCAAGGAATTGCCTCTTTATTATTTATTTATTATTTAAAGACCATCAGATAAACCGCAAGAAAACAGTTGTCAACCTACACCATCTGAGATCACGGTCATGGGGTACTCAATGCAGACAGATCAGTACAGATACACAGAGTGGATACAGTATGATCATAACACACAGAAAGGCAACTGGTCACATGATCATGCCAGAGAATTGTACCTTGATCACAAAGAAGACAGGAATGTAGCAAACTTGCCTGAGTATTCAGAGCTTGTTAAAGAGTTATCAAGTCAGCTTAGAAGAGGGTGGAGAGCTGCCTTACCAACGGTCAAAAACTAAAGGTCAATATCTCAGTATTCAAGGACACCTGCAGTTGGTTGCTGCTATTCTTCTGTCATTTTAAGCAAACAACTCTCTCAAGTGCTAGTCTAAAATAACAGTGTCTATTTTAGAAAATATTGATTTTATAACAAAAGGAACTGACCAACATTTTGAATGTCAGCTATTGCAATGTTTGTTCAAGAACTCATTTAACTACACTCTATAGAATGTGATCCTGTGTTGCTCTTTTTAATAAGGAAATTTTAATGACAGGTTTAATTCAAAAGTAGTTTTTTAATGTTCTATAAAGATGACAGCCATGTAGAATTGCACACAGATTATGCCACAACATGTAAGCTGTCCTGACAAACTAAGTTCTTAACATAACAAAAGCATGACAGAAGTAACCCTCCCTGGTTTGAAATATGATCTTAAAGTTTTTCTTATATCATTATAAATACCAATCTTCTTAGCAAAGGACCAACATTTCACTGCATTGCAAGTTACTATTATTTCACAGCAAAATTTCTTTTCTGAAAACTATTTTCAAAAATGCTACTAAGAAGACACATTTAAGGTAAAAAAGAAACTAAGAAACTTTCACACAATCGACTGAAATAATTTTTCTTTTATTCTAAATTGTTTTCAATTATTTTTTCATAATCTGAACAACTCAATTCAATCTGCATTTTATTTTATTCTTTAGTTAAGCAAAATTTACGCATATATTATTTTTAAGGATGTAGCAGGATGCATGTTCATTAAAATCATTAAAATTTTTATCTCTACATAGAAGAAGCGATATGGTGTAATACACTATACTACATTAGTATGTATGCAGCCTGACGGTGCCATAACTACTAAGAACAAGAGAAGAGATAAGCACGAATAGACTTTGATTACAAAAAGGACTGAATGTACATCAATATATACAACATGTTAATGCCACAAGCAAATGCATGTATTGTACATAACTTTACAAATTGCTCAGCAAGGTAGTGCAAGCACTCCGCTGACTCCTATAATCAACAGAGCTCAACTATGCACGTAAAACAGATAAAGGACATAAGAATATGAGAGGAGCAAAGTTTAAGTCAGATTGAAAGGGCTTTGGCTAAAACAAGATTTGTTGTAGGGCCGCCCTTGTTGATGATAGGACTTTATGCTAAGGACTAGGAGGTCACCTTGCCTTAGCTTAAAACATTATTATTATTACAATAATTGTAATTATTATTAGGGCATAATACTTATTTTTCTAGATTGAAAAAATGAAATGACTTTCAAACACAGGATAACCGAAGAAGATAGTTATCTATTAACCTGCCCTTAACCTGTACATTGAATTTGAGGGATGCTTGTTAAAATAATAACTTACAAACCATGAAATAAATAATAAAATTGTGAAAAGTCAATAAAAATTCAAAGTTGAAGGTTGACAAATTTCACAATGACGTCTCACATGTTTTTTGAAACAACAGCATGAAACAATATTGAACAAACAAACAAGGACACATAAGTACTTTTGTGTGAGAGAAGTACAATGAGATCAAAGTTTCATACATGTACAAACCCCAAAATCCTCATTGTACCTCCAAAAAACACTGATCAATAATAATCATTAATGGTCCTCTCTGCCCTCTGAGGAGCATAGAAATTATTATTAAGTTCCACAAACAAGAAGGCAGCAAATGAATGGACAGAAAATATTTGTGAAAATAGCTAACAGCGCAGTTTACCCCAAAATTAAATGAGAGTAATAAAAAACAACTCAGTTCTGGGGTAAACAGTAACGTTCTTGAACTACTGATTATTGGTCATGATAATATCCAAGAAATATGAAAGTTTGACCAGTTCTCCCTAAAAGAATTCCCTATCTTTTTTGCAAACAAAAAAGTCCCTTCATACCAGAATTTCTGGCCAACCAGAGTAGACTTACTGCCTGTTAAAATCCAAGAATGATCAGCTAACTAACATTCTACCGTTAGAGCATTTTTATAAAGCCCTTTTCATTGTAGGTGTCCGCAGAGGTTTAAACATCTAACAGGCTGGTTTAAATAGTGATTACCAGGATAAGTTTTGTTGGCAGATTCTTCAACTTCATCACAGTTCATTTCCACATCATGGATTTTCTGTGTTGAAGAGCTGTTGTTTCTTGTGCAGTTATGAACATGACCATTTTGATAAAGTGTGTCCTCTGCTCTGCTTGCCTGTTGACTTGTACCATTTGTAATATAAAAGTCATGGCTTATGGCACTTGAACTATGAATCTCAACATGATCCAAATACTGGACCATACCTAAAAATTATTTAAAATGTAAGTTACTTATATAATATTATTATGGTTTGAAAATTATTAAGAGTGTCAAGGAATATTAAGAGGGTATGAAATTTGATAAGGGACCAGTTATAATATAATATAATGGGGGAAGGAGTTAGGCTGATGCAAATTAAGACACGCCATGTTCAAAATAAATACTCCTGAACCACCTTTGATGACTTTGAAGTGACTTTTCTTAAAGGGGCTATGTCACGGCAGTCCTGTTCATTTTGTTTAATTTTTGCGAATTACTCGCCCTCAATCGCTATGGAACTTAAAGTAAGCAAAGAAATAATGTAAATGACAAAATCAGAGATCTGAGACAAACAGATATGTCTCCTTAGCATTATTTTTGAAGTTGCAAGCAGCAGGGATAAACTTTGAAAAACTTTTAGGCTGAACAGTTTTCAAAAACCCTAATTTCAATCTGTTTAAATCTTCTTCAGTTTTGCCCATCCGTGGCATCTGTTGTTTCTGTTATGTTATTTTAACGTTTTTTAAAGTTTTAAGCGGTTATTTTTATGTTTCTTTTAATTTATTGGGCGTTTTGTAATTTCCTAATTTGGCTGAATTTCGTGACACAGCTCCTTTAACATGCAACATGGAGTAACAACAGTTCAAATGGCTTGCTCAAAATGGCCACAACTTTACTGCGTGGAAAATCAACTGGAAGAGGTACCAGGTCACTGATTATAAATGAAAGTTATTTTGACCAGAGGCAGAGATGTTTAAAAAAATTATTCTATTCTGGCGGTTTTATAAAAAGAGCATTAATTTTTAACTGTGAACTGTCATTAAGGTGTTTCTAAAATATAGGAAAATCAAATGACCAAAAATTAAAAGTCACTTGAAATGGTCATGTTAGTAATTAAAAATTCAAATTATGCAATATAATGCTTCCCTTGCTGAGTCTGAGTTAATGAAAAAGGTCTTTGAAAAGCAGGGCTGTGAAAAAGGTTTTAAGTAGAAGACTGATAATGAAAAATAGGCGGTGTTCGAACTCGCACCAAAGACACAAATTCTTGAGGGCTGAGGCATCTAGGGACATTTTGAAAATTAGAGTCTCGGAATTGGTGTTTCCAGAGGTTTTCAAGGAATATTTTCCACCGCTGATACCATGTTGATTTGTCAGAATACACGCAAGACTGGGAACAATGCCGTCAAAATGTCCCACGCGTTCCAAGAGATCGGTTCAAACCTGTTAGAATATGCCTAGTTCACTGAATGTCATTCAAAACTGGGAAACGGATACTTTACAATTTTATTTGATGGCGCTTATTTTCTGTTAGCAGTTATGGTAGAAGGAGATGAAAGTAGCCAGCTAAAGAAGGCTAACTAGCCGGCGGTTTTGGCTGGCTACCAGCCCTTATTGACAGCCCTGGAAAAGGGGTCTAAACTTTTAACTTCAGAAATAAACTTGCCATTTCTTGATCTCTTTGCTTGAACTGTATAGTCCCCATCATCAAGTAATCTTTTACATTTCCTTTGGTTGGACACTAAAGGGACAATTAACATTGATTACAGTTAGGAAAGTATATCCTTTGATCTTCCTTCTTCCTCTATATAGGAAGATTGCAATGTTTATGCCTGCATGGTTATCACAGCACGGCAATCTTACCTCTTTTTAATAGAATGACTCTAGCAAAAAGTGGTACTGTCTTAATAAAACTTTAAGAAGCTTTAGATTGTATGGAAAATAGCAGTCTCCTACAGTAATCCTAAAACAGACACCATCCCAAACTACAACTAGAGAAAAGAAAAGAAAATTTTCTTTCCAACCAGAACCAAATCATACCTTGTTAAACCTAGAGAAATTTTGTTGCCTGGTCTTAACCAATAAATGCAGTAAAGTAGCAAAATTTTGTTGCAAGTCATATCACAATGATTCCCTGTTGCTTTATTAGCTCTATTACCTGACTCGTGGCTTTGACTTCTCAATAACTGTGCACATTGCTCAAATCCAAGGGAGGAAGCAAGGTCACAAGGAGTCTGTCGATACATGTTGAATGTGCTGAAAATAAAGAACAAAGATCAAGGACAGGCTCCTCTTGGTGTGAGCTACCTTCAAATGGTTCTAGAGCAACAATGTTACAAAAATAAATGACTTTATATATTATATGACATAAGGACATGGCTTTTTTTGTTACCTAAAAGTAGTTACAAATGCCTGGAGTAGTCTCAAGCATTCCACATTTCCTCCTCGTGCTGCCTTGTGCACTGTAGTTTCTCCAAAACTGTCCTGCACGAAAAAGAACATTTAACAATTATACATTAAGTCATGTACTTTCAGACGTGACGTGATAAAAAAGGGTTCGATCATACAATTTCTAGTACTGCATGAGAAGAAACAAACTGCAGGACCCAGAACGTAAACATTAAAGCCTGTTAAAACAATTCCACGGTCTGTGCTTCTCCACCCTGTCTTATGATGTATTCTAAGAGCACATTGAGACAGTAATATCACTGAATGGACTTTTTGAGTTATTGTGCAAAATACCCTTGAATATAGGCAGTGAAATTGTTTAATTTTTAACTTTAATTCAGACAGGAGTCTCATTAGGTAGAGGGGGAGCTTATTAGCGATTGGCAATAAATACAGGAAATAAAGTAAGCAGTTACTGAACACACCATAATATGGCTGGTACCACACAATGGTTATAAATTTGTCATATGAAGCACTACTCACAACTTTTTCTGCAACTGCACCATTTTGAAGTAACCAGTGAAGGACATTAGCATGACCAGCAAAAGCTGCAAGATGTGCTGGTGTCTGTTCAAATCTTCCTTCACATACATCAATGTTTAAACCACAATCAACAAGGCGCTTCAAACAATCAACCTAAAAAATTAAAAATTGAAGGAAGAGGTTAGTTTCAGGTGAAACTGCGGTTTTATTAAATGAGTTACGCACCACCATAAAAATGTCAAAAAGCCACTCTTTCAAGAGCAAGCCCTTTGATTTACCCTTATGAATGACTAGCTCTCAAAATGTCCTCTATTTGATCTTTTTGCAGAGGAGACTTGACATCATCAATGTATGTGACCTAAATATTCTTAAATACATGAAAAAAGTGGTTTCCTTAACCAATTTGCTCCTAGAAATTTTGACGAAAAACGCATTTTGAAGCTAGTTGAGCAGATTTCTGGTCACTGTCAAGCTATAAATAGCTAAAACTTTCCACAAAGCCGTTTACAGGTCATACACTTCATGCCCCTCTGATCCAGATGCAAAATATTAGTTTGGCATGTGCAGAAAGCAAAATCTTGAGATAGTTTTTGAGTTTAAAAGTGACACAGCGGTCTTGAATTTTACTTTTCGCTTTCTCTCCTCCCCTCTTTTTTCTTTTGCTGTACATTTAGTAGGCTTCATTTCGGTGGCAAAAGTTCTTAGAAATGCTTTTACGATCTTAAGATTAGACAAAAGGAAAGGTAGGGTGTGGACCAAGATTTTCATGGAAACTTTTAGGGCAATGTTATATGTTTTTTTTGCCTTTTTCTCCAGTGTCCTTTACCGAATTGTGATCATTCTAGAATAGTTTGAAAGATCTCTTCACTCTGCACAAGTTAGCGGACAAAGTTGTCCTTGACCATTAACACTGATGACGTCACAAGCTGTAAAAGGGACATGGATCCGCACAGGCGGTTACAGGCAGCTCAGGTTAAGAGAGAAAACACTACTTAATTACCTAGAAGGGTTCACCATTACAGCCACCAATATAACTTCAATTAAGGAAACCAAAAAACAATGACTCAGTGAAAATGGGTGAACAACAAGGTAGCAATCACAAGGGATGTAAAGACTTACGTCTATTACCTGCCCTGCTTTTGAGCAAGTTTGGTTGCCAAGTATAATCAAAGCACAAACAAACTGTGATTCACTATTCTAAACAAATCATAGTTTGAGGTACCAAGAAAATATTCAAGATTTCCGCACAGCACTGTACATATATTTTAATAACTAGAGACACATTTCGCCCTGTTTACAATAACAAACTACTTGTGTGAAAACTGTTGGAGGATGTTGCATGCATAACAAAAAATGCAAGGGACTGTGCGGCAATCCCACTTTACCCAATTCTAGCGTCGCGTCTAAAACGTTAGCCGTAACCAAAACACATCATCAAAACAAACTGATTAACTGTTTGGCAGTGGAAAAATTTCTCAGCAACGTGGACCAGATCTCAAGTGGTCTTTCTTTCATGAGTTATTATGTATCAGATTCAGAATTTGAAAATGTAGTTTTCAATAATTTCACCTAATAACTTTTGTGTAAGAACATCGCTCTCGAAATAAAATTGTGGTTCCGAGATCACGACAACAACGGGGTCAAGTCACGAAAAACCATTCTTCAAGCTTCCCTCGTAAACATGCACATATAAATTCCACGTATCTTGGTTTTCCCGTTCTTTTACATGACAGAAGGCGTTCTTTACTTCTCGAAGTTGAAAAAGTTTGATACTAAGTTTTAGTTTTCTCTTGTTCGTGATCAGCTGTTAAGCATCAAAGAATTTGGCAGTCACGAGAGGAAACTCCGGACTGTCTGTTGCAAAAAAAATCTGTAAGACCCTATAAAAACAAAGTCGAGTATGAAGTACATGCTAAATACTGCTATAATAACTACAAGAGCTCTGTAAGGAAAATGAAAGAAGGACTGTTTATAAGTCTTATCGCTAGCTTGCATCTGACCTACAAGCTGTTTGTTTTCCTCTTTTAGAAATTGTATTTTCTTCACAAACTAAACCGACATCTAAACTAACCTTTCCAAAGTAGGCAGCCCAGTGTGCAGGGGTCCACTTTAAGTAATGGTCTTGCTCATTTAGGGAGCGAAAAACTGCAAGTCTGTCTCCTTGAACGGTTAAGTAAGTTAGACTAAGCATGTCTCCGTCCCTACAAGCTCTGGGAACAGGAGGAAGAGGATGCTCAGACCAGGCACAACGTAAAATACACTCATTAAGCTGCTGCTTCGTTTGAAAACCACACTCAGATCCCATGGTTAATCCAAAATGGGTCCGAAAAAAGAATAGATAATACTTCAAGAGTCAAAGATGAAACCAAAATAAAACATCCGCAGTAATTTTACACTACAAACAATAAAAATCCCGCCGAAAAGAGTCACCCACAGGCCATGCGGTGGCTTGTCACTCAATCTTTTTTCTATTGACCAATCAGAAAGCGAGAATATTTTCAGCCGCTCGAAAACGAGCCAATCAGGGAAGTGCAATGAAAGAAAGCCATTTGAAATTTGCAATTCTCGTCATCCGGGATTTTGTGGTTATTATCAGTACTTCCTGTCATAAATTTTGTATATCCGTTCTGCTTGAAGAGGGAGATTTCAAACTATCTTGCGGTTCAATTGAAAGCTTAAAAGCTCAGTTTTTTGACAAAAGGAGCCATGAGCAGCACTGACAACCAAGTCGGTGTTACAGATTCAACTCACATATCAACAAAGTAAGTTGTCTTTTGCTTACTTTTCACGCGTTTTCCCGAGCAGATAAAATTTTTAACAGTTCTTTGTCGAAGGTTGCTTTGACATTTTGCGTTCGCTTACTATCTTCTGCGTGCTAGAACAGTATAAATCAAACCGTATTTCATTCGATAAACATCATTATTCTTTAGTTCAAATGAACCGTGTTTATTTAAACCTTTCACGTGTTCCGCTTCCCTAATTTTTCCTTAGCTTCTCGCTTGAGTTAGTGTCATGACTAAAGTTTGCCATGTAAAATTTATTCAATTTTCGCTTTGTTGTACATGTGTCGTCTTGAACTGTCATTAATGTAGCCGTTTGTCAGCCTTTTGAAATCTGAAGGAATTTAAACTGCTTTTCCTCTGAGTATTTTCAAACGTATTTACAACGACGGTTATTTACGCGAATCAATCTTGCCGCGTTTTTCGTCTACACGCTGGTTTCATCATAACACAAATTCAATGGATGGCTTTGTGTTATGTGCGCAAATTAATTCTTCGCATTCCCAGACGTAAACATTATGCTTCATTCCACAATTTCAAAGCGCCTTGAAACTTTTATCTTTGCAAGCTTGTTTGAGAGTTTTTCCTCATTGCAATACTGTCCTCTGTTACATCGAAGAACATACAGCTTGAATTGTTAATTAGGGCCGTTCCAAGATGTCATACATAATTTACGGCTCGGAGCCAAATTTCCCTTAGTTTTATGCTTCATTTGCTTCATATTGCGAAGAATCCAGATAGTTCTTCATAATCTATTCATCGTGTATATGAGTGGTTTTTTTTATTATTATTTTCTGATCACTAGCAAATATTAACATCTTAAATAAGCAGAATCAATATAATCGCCGAAGCACAATGTAGTTTAAAAAGAACGTCAAAGAACAATATATTCTTTAACAGGCTTTCTTTAGCTTTCATTTATGTCGTAATGTTTTGTCAATCACTACCTGGTTTGAGTTTTAGATATGATTTAAGTTAAACTGCTTTTGATTCACAACTTAAAATGTACACGACATTTTGCAGTGATAATTAATGAAATTTCATTGCGAGCATTTTGAAGTATTTGTTTGTTGCAATCTTTTTTACAAATAAATGTTAAAAGGCATGCTTCTTGACGCCTGCTTTCTTTGCCAACACACTGGTGAAGTAGAATGCATGAGGGTTTGAAGTGTTTGTTATGAATGTGATGCGTTGAAAGTGCTTCTGTTATTACCTCTGATAAAATCTCTTTTATACAATTTAAATGTTAATTTTTTGATATAATATATTAGATTTGTTATACTACTACATGAAAAATTTCTGCAATTTAATTGGCTTAGAGGAGTGGTATTTCAGCTTAATTTGAAATACCTACATGTGAAAGTTACAAACCTTTAGCAGGTAGTAGTATTAACAAATAATAGCATGATTTGTACGTGATATTTGGCATAAATACCACTCGTGATATTTCAAAATTGTCTCAAATTTCACTCCCTAACGGCTCGTGAAATTACGTATAACAATTTTGAAATATCACTCATGGTATTTATGCCAGATATGCTATTACCTATACTAATAGTTAAATCATGATACGGCATCAATGTTTTGCTAGTGTAGCTAGTGAGGTTTAGTGCGAGACTAGCTTTTGTGTAATTAACATTCCCTAGTGTCTTAAAATAATTTGCATTTGTTTCGACCTCTGCAATATACTATTACCTATACCAATGGTTATATCATGATACGTAATTAATGTTTTGCTAGTGGAGCTAGTGAGGTTTATCACGAGGCTAGCTTTTGAGTAATTAAAATTCCTTAGTGTCTTAAAATTGCATTTGTTTTGACCTCTGCAACAGACAAAACAATTTATATTGCTTCTCTGGCAGTGTTTGTGACAGGAAGGCTTAAATATTACAAATAGTGTGAGCTGTAACTAAAAAGAAAATGTTTTCTTAAAGTATGTTACATTAGCAATATCAAAGCTGATATTGTGAATGAGAGATATGTATGTGATCTACATGTATCTATTTTCTGAACTACAATGTAGTTAGAGGAATTTTTCTGGAGTGCTCAACTTTTCAGGAGCAATAATGTAGTAGTTCCAGGCCTCAGAGGCTATACATGGCTTTATTGCTACAGCTGAGCTCTGTTTTGTATGGCGAAAAGGCAACCACACTCATCAGGCAAGTTTAGCAAGATACATGGGACCTACATGTATATTTAAGTATTCAAGTCGCCGTGGATTAAACTTTTACAATGATGACTTTTTCACATTGTTTTGTGATCTTTGCGTTGTCCAGTTGAAAGAAAGCTACCTTGCTCACTTTCTTCTAGCGTTTAATTGCAACTATGTCTCGGGTTAATTTTAGTCTTTGTTCTAATTTTATTTTCATTCAATTGGTTATGGCAGTTACTGTTTATGATAATGAGAAGCTTCAAATAAAACCAAAGACATGATTAAACAAGCACAAGTAAAAATAATATTGTTGGCCATTTCCATTTTTGTTTGTGAACCTCCAGGCCATATCCTGAGAAAACAGCTGACATTTTATGACCCTACCACTGGTTTCCCTGCAAAATGAAGTCTCAGGAATCAGTGCAGAATTCCATATTGACGATGTGTCACTACACAGATCAGGGTAGTGCTTCTAAATGGTTCAAGGAAAATTTCAACCAATCCGAAGCACTACCCACATCAGAGTAGTGACACATCATCAGTATGGAATTTCCGTGGTCAGACGTCATTTTGTGGGGAAACCAAGGCTGGTGTCGCAAAATGGCAGCTGTTTTCTTAGGCTCCCTCTGCCGAAGCTTTTAAAGTTCCAGATTGCAGTTCCTTAAGGTCTTTACATGATACATGTTTCAGATACCGGCACATGAAATTGCGCCTAATTAAGGTGCCACTGCGACCAAATTTAGTTGCCAACTTGGCTAGTAGAGTACTTCACTACACTTTACCTAAGGGTCATGTGAATTGCCGAAGACATGTAAGAGTAATCTGTGGTAGTGATCACAGGGCTTAAAAACTTTGTTGTTCGGTTTGTTTTCAAGAAAAGATTCAGCACTTTCCTGATCTACTAGACGCAAGTTGAATTAAAGTAGCCTGTAATGTTATGTATGACCCTTTCTAAAGTCACAAAACACCATCTTGGATTAAAATAGCCCTTTATGAAGCCCTTTGTCCCAATTCCAAAGTCGTGGTGATTTATCAGTTTAAGCTATAAGTGGCTAATTTCTTCCTATTGCACGATAAAGAACAGATATCACAGTTAATTAATAACAAATAAGCCTTAGAAGAATGACATTAATTGCAAGAACACATTTTTCTCATTTTCAGCGAAAATAATCGACATTCACCTGTTAAATAAAACTTGTACGATGAGTAGGTACTGCGTCCAGTAAACTGGGACTGGGGCGGGATAAGAAGACTGTTGGATATAAAAGCAATTTATCCTCACTTTGAAAGAAGGTCTTCACAACTTAAATTGCTAAAATTTAATCAAATCTATTCAATTCTTTGATTAAAAATGAAAAACATTTCATAAACTCCATAAATACATGTATGGGGTCTATCTTGTAAATGGACAGAGTTATAAAAATGTGGCTTTCAAACAGTGGCAACCAACTTATTGTAATTGGCAACTACTCTAAATTATTTTGACGTCCAGTTACTGGAGAAAAAAGTTAATTTCATGCTCTGTATACATGAGTGTTTGCTTAGTATTTATCTTTTATTTAATTGTGTTATTTGCTTTAATTTGTTGATGTAAGAAAGCACTTGATTTAGTAAACCTTCTAAGCATCAGATTCAAGAAAAAACTTTTGATCCCTCATATTACTTTTCAAAGATGCAGGGTTTTCATTAAGACCCAGCGCCTACTAGAGCTTTGATGGGTATGCAGTTGTGAATCACAGCATGCAATTTTGCCTTATTATCAGTTAAAGGCTTAGTGAATTAAAACCCTGTTTGAGTTTCTGCATTCTTAACTTGCTTTTGTGATTCAGCAAAATGTGCATTCAGGCTTCCTTAAAATGGACATCAAAGAGACAAAACCTAGTGTCTGTTGTACACTGGTGTCTTTATGAAAGAGGTAGAAACTGTATGAATTTGGTGTCCATAAGGCGCGGTTTGACTACAGAAAAATCTGGCTTCATCTCCTTTAGTCACTGTAGTTCAGAGTCATGGGAAAATGCAATTAACTACTGGAAATTAAAAAATTATTTTTCAGGGTGCTAGCACCACCTGGTGGCAAAACATCCATAAGTTTGTTTGGAAATGATGGAGGCACTCCCTCAGAGCCTGTAAGGAAAGAAGTTAACCGCTGTCAAGCTGAGCGGAATAAATCAAATGTTTTTGCCTCTGATGCACCTGCTTCTGCCGTGACTCCAAAACACCACGCAGAAAGCCAACAAAGACGGCAACACTCCTCTGTATTTGGTGAGTCACAGCCTGCCCCAAAACCATCCTTCGAACCAGAGCCGCGGAAACCTCACACAGTTAATCCACATCAGGAGGCTCGACAAAAATCACAGGTCTTTAAGGAACCAACAGAATCTAAGCCCCCTCCACCAAGAAAGAGGGAGGATATCATCAGTGGTAAGGGTGGAAGCAATGAGGAAAGAAGTCACACTTCTGTCAAAGTTCATGCTCCCCCTGGCGGACAATCACAAATATCTTTTGGTTGAGCTCTTTCTCAGATGAGAAACAGTTTTTTTTTTAACTTCCGTCCTAACATTGATAATTACATTTTAGTACACAACTCTCTTGTATGACTTTCTCCTTTTCTTGATGCTGGACCTGGATTTTACAACTGAATTTCTTGAAAATGTAGTAGCCTCTTTTTCATTGTTAAGCTTGGTCTCCTCCCATCTAGTAATGACTGCACGTAAGGGTAATTAGTGTTCTCAAGAAAATTCACTTAGGTGTGTAACACTGGCCATATTTAACAGGAAAAAAAAATCAAATTTGTACAGTTACATCTGCAACTTTTGCTGAGCAGACTTGAAGTTTACAGTTGTAAGTAGCATCCAGTGGGTTTAAAATCCATGGTACGTCATGATAACTCATGCTCGAATGCTTCCTTTAAAACACATCCTTAAAGTTACTGGATACCCTTAGGCATGCTATAGAAAATTCAGAAAATAAGCATTTTTTGAGAAATATAAAGTCCTTGACAAGTTCTCTTCAAGGATATTAACTTCCCTCTAAATTTGACGTTTCCTTTAAGCTTTAGCTTTTTAGATGTCTCCTTTGCACAAAGAAAAATTATTTCAAAGAGGCAGCTTTTAGGAAAAAATTAATCTGCAGTGTTCGCTACTTTTTCAGCCTGATAGTGTGAACTTATTTTGCATACCCATACCCCTACCCCCCAAAAAAAAAAAAAAAAAAAAAGAAAGAAATCAAAACTTAAACGAAATTGTCACTAATCTGAAGGTATCCAGTAACCTCAAGAGAGTATTAACCATGTAATCACTTAATCTAACTACTTAATACAGCGTGCAAAGAAAGTAGTGTTCAATAGCCCTCGGCTGGTGGATTTTGGTATTGGGCTAGTCAATTCTGTTTTTAACTTGCCCAACGGGCAAGTGATGTTGTTTGAGGAATTCGAATAAGAAGAACTCTGAAATCTATTCTGCTCATCAAAAAGATTTTGGGGCTAGTTGAAATGATGTCTGGGCTGGTAAATGCTAGCTTCAGCTTGTGCAAGCAGTAAGAATGATTTTCTTTGCACCCTGTTAATATATAACTATCTCAGTTTCATGTCATTACAACATAACTGTACTTAGCACGAAAAAAATGTCACCATTTCATAATGATGACATTTTTACTTATTCAGTGTGGTTAGTTTATGCAAGAACAGCAATTAACCAATTATTTTCCACTGGTTGTATTTTCTGGGTGTGTGATGATGATTCCAATAATAGTAATCTCCACACAAAATGTTTGTAACACTTGTTATTGGTTTTTGCTCTGCTTGAGGATTTTTGGCAGGAAAGCTTTTAATTTAGAATACACTGTTTTTGCCAGACTACATGACTTGTGCAAAAGTTGAGGTTATTTTGACGACAATACTTTCATTTTAGAAGATAATCAAGATGTCCATGTCCCCTGTAAGAAGTCACCTTTGTGTGTTTTGTGAATAGTCATTTAACTCCAGGCTTTTTAATAAATTATTTTTAGTACCCAATGATGTTATTGATAGAAAGTGTTGTGACACTGTTGACTACAACTTAGTGTTTAGAAACTCTTTAGTGACCTTGTTGGAACTTGTTCGACTTTAAAGAAAAACAACTTTACTGCAGAATCCCACAAGATGGTACTCAAAGTTTTCCATCTTTATGGTACACATCCTACCCCCAAAACAAGAGCTGACACCATTTTACTGCTCTCCATAGTTTCGTGCCTCTCATAGTCGCAGATATAACTAATTTTTGTTCTTTGAGTGATAATAAAAACATTTTAACCTTTCAAGCTCAAATAAGTTAAGATCAGAGGTTAAACTGTGTTAACCTATGAATGATTTAAATGATTATAAAACTTTTAATGTTAGTAACGTCATTTTCCGCAAGTGCAGGAATCTGCATTTTCTTGGTTCATTGCTGGGATAGTGAAGTGAAATGGAAACTAGACATCATAGGAAATGTTCTAGTCCCAGCATGTATAAACAAAGAAACATTGGGCATATGGGTGTTGGCACATTAAGCAGTCAAAAACAATTTTCCAACAAACTGTTAGATATGTTAATCTTAGGTTGTTTGCTGTGAGTTAACATTTTACTTTATAACTGAACAGATAGGTACTTTTCTTGTGTGAGGTGTTATTTGTAAGTATATAAGACATATATAATCATAATATCAGCAGCTTGTAATAAAGTATGGGTACTCATTCTGTTGAACACTTCATTTGTTTGTTGTATGCACTAGACTCTTCAAAAAGAGGTTTCTTACCACACTGAAGTTATCAGATCTGTGATGGCAAACATTTCAATCAACTTGTTAGTTTAATAGACGTGGGTTTGGCTCATTGTTCTGATGAAACATGGAAATATTAAGAATCTTTCTGTCTGTTCTCAGCTGGTCAATGAAAAAACAAGGGAGTCATAGACACACTAAGAATAGTTTATTTTGAAAAGAAGCCAGGTACCTAACCAAACAAAAACATTTGATAGTTTATGTATTGTGGGAAACAAAAAAAACTATTAAACTATTTAATCAAAGAAATATTGATCGACTGAGAACAGTGCTGCACAGATTTGAGGGCTTTTGGTCAAATTTTACTTGGCAGATCACAAACTGCCTAGTACCCTACCCCATCACTCTAAGGCCAAGACAATGTTTTTGACCTTGCATTTCCCTGTTGAACCAATGTAAGTTAGTAATAGCATCTCTTCATCTTTTCACATGCACACAAAATCTCATGAAAGTTTGCTTTCGAATCAGAATGAGCACAGGTACAAAAAAAAGTAGCCTGGGAAAACAGCTGACATTTTATAATGCCACTTTTGGTTTTCCTGCAAAATGACTTCTGAGGAAAGAGCACAGAATTCCAAACAGATGACGTATCATATTCAGATCTGGGAAGTGCTTCTGATTTGCTGAAGCAAATGTCTCCCAGATCTGGGTGATGTCATCTTGACTGGGAAACAAGTGATGGCTATTCCAAAATGTTAGCTACAAACATTTTCCAGGGGGCTAAGCCTGTAACAGACTGGAACTTTTACCCCCCCTTGTCATATTTTCTACTCCCTAGTTCCATATAGCTAGATTTTGGGACTTTCTCTTCATGAAATTTTGATATAATTTGCTTACCAGCAATATTTGTATATTCCTTCTAGTTCTCGTCAAAAAGATATAACATGCCAGTAACCTTCTCTCTTTTTCATGAAGCATAAGATCAGACATGGCCCATCCAAGTACCTACAGAAGCAAACTTTTTCACTTCAAGCAATTTTTTTGTTTTTATTTTAGGAACTGAACTCCCGCGGGACTGAACTTCTTTAATTTACTGGCTACTCTAAGGCAGGCAAGGCATTTGGATAATAGTGACCGAGATAACCTGGAAACAAATGTAGGGTACAAGAGCATTATGGGATCGTGGTGTGCTTAGTATCCGCGCCATGTTTTCAAGCCATCGATGTCTGGAAATTTTGAGAGAATGTGTTGTACGGGATGAATTTTTTCACCTTTGTATAAATTTGCCTACAAAATGAATCTTCGACGTCTTTTCCAGGACTTCAATCCAAGGTAGAATACAAACAACACTTGAATTTTAAATATGACCTCATGTAATCGTGGGATTTTTTTTTGTCATTTCAGTAAATTCCTTCTTTTTTTAACTCTCTTCCTCTTTTCGATATTACTGGCCTTGCGTTTGGATGAAACTATCACGTGGAGTTATTGGGCGGTTTTTACACCCATCTGGATCTGGAAAATTATGGTGTTCACCGGCGCTTTCACAGGAATTTACATTTGGATTCGACATCCAGAGTACAGGTAAAAATCAGTCGTAGATATCACAGATAGGCCATGGGGTAAAACTGATGTAATTTTGGAAAAACAAAAAGGAAAAATTTGCTCAGAAAACTGAATAATTAGCAATTGCTTGATACAAAGTTGAGCATTATTTTTAAGACTAAATATTTTTTGTGGATTGATCAGGTGCAGTCCATCTGAACTCTTGAGTTTTACATCTTTAATAATCATTGACATTAACTGAAATTTTTCTCCTCTTCCGATTGGTTCAAATCCCCCCTGCTAATTCTTCATAAGGTACCCCATCTGAGATGTGATAATTCAAAATTATATGTAACTCCAGTGTTAAGATGAATCATAGGCCAACACAATGATTCTTTCACAACAGATAATCCATGTCTAAAATATTTTGTTGGATGTAAAACAAAGACCTTTTGACTTGAAGGAACTAGTACTTATTTTCTCGCAAAGGCTTCTTAAGATAAAAAGTGTTGACTTGGTGCATTGTTTACATTCTTCCGCTTACCTCAACTTGCCACTACCACCAATTACGTGGAAATACTTTCAAAACAAATCTAAATCTCTTATTTCAAGGTGGCCACTAACAAATGTGTGCATATCAGCAGCAATGAAGAAGATGTTCACCGTTCCAGCTTAACATGAAAGGCGACCTTGTTTACCCATAATCCCTGCTGAAGGTTCCTCCATGTCACTCTGTAATTGAGACATCTCGCCGCTTTTCCCCACTTCTGACTACTTTTCCCAGCTTCAGGTTCAGAATCTCAAGATTTTTGCCTTTCGGAGGTTGGCAAGTCTGTCCAAGGGTGGTAACAAGTCCCCATTTAAAAATTCTGGAAATTCCTGGGGGGAGGGGGGTCATAAAAAATCTCCCTGGAAAGGAAAATCCTCGGGGGCGGGTGCAAATCAAAGAGTCTTCCGTGGGGTGGAGGGGGTATGGATATTTTCTGGAATTACACAATAATAATGAAAATTAGTTAACAGCTCATTCGTAGAAAGTGCATTAAAACTTGAAACTCCCCCAGGATTAATTATCATGGATATCAGCAGATAAACCTTATAATAAATTGTATTTGCCGTACATGTATACTGTATATTCCATTTGTTTTCTTTTGTTGTTGTTGTTTTTAGGGGAGAAGGAGAAAGTCATGTTGATTTCAAAGCAATGATTATCTGCCTTGCTTTACATCTTCTGCTTCTAATGTTTGAAATTTTTGTGTGCATCAACTTGGGAGGAGGACAACAGTTTCCTTGGAGGCTCATGTTTATGCCTTTGTATGTTCTGTCATCATTGTCAATCATTGCTTGTATCTGGGGATTCAGACATGACAGATCAGTTGAGGTTTGTTCTTGCAACAAAATGCCAAAGTTATTACATTAAATGTGTATTTGACTAAGTATGTTTGGTCAAGATGGCTTGGTATTGGCCAAGCCAAGTTCTTTTTTTAGGCTTTTATTGACCAAGATGAAGTCACAGTCAATAAAACTGCAAAATAGAACAATGCCAACATCAGTGATTTTTTTACGAATAGTTATGGTGAGTCCTGGAACTCATCTTGTGAAAAAACATGAGTCCCAGTTCAGAACCAGTGAGTCACATTTAAAAAGAAAACACAAGAAGGCATGCTAGGGCCTTTATGTAACCAGTCAGTTAATCTGGAGACAGATGCCAATATACACTTAATGTCAGTTCCCGAGGGAAACAGTTAGTTTTGTTTTCCCGAGAGTCCTGATGTTTCCCGAGATGAAGTCGAGGGAAACATCAGGACTCGAGGGAAAACAAAACTAACTGTTTCCCGAGGGAACTGACATTAAGTGTTTTGTTATATTCCTAGACTTTTACTTCAACAGTGACAAAGAAGTAAAGAACGAATGGAAACAATGTCAGTACTTCAAAGGGCACATTTAATTCAAATCTGTAAATGAATTACTTAGCACAAAATATATGAACAAGTAGTTTCTGGACTTAAAAGCTCAATATTGAGATAAGCTCAAAGAGAATCACTTGGAATTACCTTGATAAAAGTTTATAGTAACAGTTGCTCCTGAAAATGCGCCTGCGTTAAAGTTAACCGTTTCCTGGCTTTGCGATGCGAAATTTTGCATCGTGATGGGTGATCTTGGCACTGTGTTTCCGACTAGAGGACAATCTGCCTCTGCAGTTTGCTCTTGCCTCTCTAAACTTTCAAAACATGCAGTACTGAGTGAATGGGAAATTTCCTTTTGTTTAACCTCAGAAAGGCGCCTTGAATAAGAGCGAATGCTGCTCTCAGACTTGTGGCCAGAAACATGCATTATATGGCGGGCCTCAAAATTACACTCGTCTAATAACGATACGGCAGTTGCCCTAATACAATGATTGGTGTACTGATAAGACAATTGTATTTCCTTTGAAATGGAACTCATTAACGTAGCTAGCGTATTTTTTCCGAGAGGAGCATTACAATACCAAACTTCATCACTTTCGCTAAAACTTTCACGCACCTTCGGCCTTTGCCACAAACACGACAAACTAGGATTAAGCTTTGATAAATACAGTTCAAAAGTTTTTACTGGACAGTACGGACTATTCGGTCTTTCATACATACGGCCTTCACCTGGAGAATCATCTGGTTGATCCTTTCCCCTGTGATTTTTGTCCAGTTCATCAAGTGCTTGATATACGTACTTCTTACCAGTTGCATCAGCCTGCACGGCAAACGTCTGTTTTGTAAGAAGACGGAGATTTTCTCTCCCGCGGCGAATTAGGTGGAAGATGAGATTAAACCAAACCACTTGCTAGAGGGATTTAGGATCTGGAGAGGATGGATTGTACCAAGACTGAATTTTTTCTAGATCTTCCTTTGATATCGGCCTGTGGTGATCAACTCTGCCAAATCCTTGCCGCTTTGACTCGACAACTGCCGCCTCATAAACTTGATTTGATTTGGAAAACTCGCCGTCATTAATGATGTCAAAATCTCTTTTCAGTAGAAAGTGCCTTTGCAGACCAAATCGTAGTCCCATCAAGGCAGTCTTTTTGTAATTTTCTCCATTCTTTTTCCGGGCATTCGGCCAGAAGTTCGTTAGAAGTTCATTCAGTTCGTTCTTCAACATTTTCTCCAGGGACTCTGTGTTTTTCACGGGCTCTTCAGGCGTAACTTCATTACAGAATGCTAGAAAAGTAGCAACGGCATTTTTAGTCGCTCTCCTTGTATTTTCGGAATCCTTGGCCTCAACCAGTTGCTGTATCTCTTCATTTGTGAGCTGTTTGAATCGTTTTCTTACAGGTTCAGGCTCCATATTTTTTGTTTTGCTGCGTTCATTCACAAAAGTTAAAATTCCCACTTTCAATCATGCCACTTTGCACCATGCTTTGATCACGTGCTGTAATGTATCCCGAGCGGGGTACATTGCGTGATGTATCACGATCGGGATACATTTGATTTTAGTCAAGGCCACGTGACCAGGAATCAACCAATGACAGCCCCTGTTTAGTTGAGTGAAAGTCTAGGAATATAACAAAACTCTTTATTACAGTTTACTGAAATTAAAATAAAGTCCCTCTAAATATTTAAAGCACAAAAAAGACTAATGTAAATATGCATCTTTAAACAACAGCCACAGAAATCACATGAACGGGATATTCTACCAGAAAATCTTCAAGTTGATCAATCATTCTTTGCATCCTACGGGATGCATGCCATAAATTATTAAAAATTATTTTTTTGCCTCATTGGGGATTTTTATACGTCTGGGATGCAGGAGACAGACAGAGGTACAAAATCAATGCAATAGCCAGCCATATTGACCAAATAAACTTGATCAATAAAGCATTTATCATATGGCCAAAATGAAGATTGTGTTCTGTTTCCAAAATGATTATGACATCTTTTCAGGACATATTTCTGTTTTGTAGCAAGCAACTCCAATATATACTTTAAACTGTTTTTGTTTTCTTCACTAATGTGCTTGCCTAATAACCACTCAGCCTTCCATGGAAATACCTGAGTGAATAGTATTGTTATGATTATGATTACTATTGTTTTAACCGCAGCTGGATTGGCTCAGTCGGTAGAGTGTTTGACTGTAGAGTGGGAGGTTGTGGACTCAAAAGTCCCTGAGTATCGGTCCAGCCAGGAATCGAACCCACAACCTTCTGCTTTAAAAATGACTGAAAAGTGAAGGTACTTCCTTTGCCCTGCAAGCAGCTATACCTTCACATGGATGACCACATAAAATGGCAGTCCCATCTCCATTTAAACTAGTGTCCCCAATTAGTTTTTTTTTTTTCATGTTAAATACAGTGACACTCAAATAAAGTGCATTTTTTTATTATGAAAGATATTATTCATCGTGGTGTTTTTATGATAGACATGTTTCTGTATCTTTTGTTTCGCAATGGTCACTTATTCAAATTTGGCACTATCCCGCGGGTTACCTTTATCCCTGCTTTTAACAACCCAATGGGGTGGATTTACTGAGCGAGACTAACACTGTCTTGTTCTGCTTTTGTCCACAGCTGGAGACAGTGTTTTCTGTGAATGTTCTTCAATTCATTTTTCTTTCTTTAAAGTTGGATAGAGTCATTTACTGGTCATGGGTGGTAAGTGCACATGTACAGTTGATGAACATCTTACTCTAAAACAGTCAACTAGGCTGGGTACATGCACTGCCTATTTCGAACTTTACCAACCATACAGTCAACTGTACTTTTCTTGTCAGGACTACTTAAGCCATGCCTGCCAAGTTGTCTGTTTTCTGTTGCATTACTGACACATTTTTTGAGTGAGAAAAAAAATCCTTCAGTCATGCCAGGTCAAGTGTACCCCCATAAATGCTGTTAATGAACCGATAATTTGAAAAATGAATCTGTTAGTCGATTTATATTAATTACCACAACCAGTATCAAGTTGAAATCTGCATTCCTGCTTGCGTAATGAACAGTAAATTTTTCACGATAACCTCTCTGTATTCGGTCAGCTTGAAAAATCTTTTGATGGATTAAATTTCTTTGAAGACATTTCCATCAAATTCAAGAAAACTGAGCTGGTAGAAATTTCCTAACTACCTCACGTGTGAATACCCTAGCATGCTCATTATGCATGCAGGACTGCAGAGATGAATCTGAAATCTACAACTATTAACGGATTCAGCTTACAAATTATAAATTCATTAATGGAATCTTGGCGACATACACTAGACCTGGCTTGGCTGTAAACCAAGAGCACAGAATCCTCTATTCTATAAAAGCAAACATAATTATAAATAATATTTAAGTATTACTTGTTTCTTTGAATTAACATCAAGTTTGTGTAACTTTGTTTTTTACCTATTCATGCCTGAATTGCCTGTACCAACTTACACGGATCCTTGCCCATTGTAATTTTTAATGGTCGTATACCACCTTGACACCATCCTTGTACAGGGAACAGAGATCAATTCAGTCAAACAGACCACAGAAAAAAATCCAAAGTAGCATGTTACAGAAAGCAAAGAAAAGTCCCAAGTTGTTCCCTGAAATAAATTTATTCACCATACTAGTATATTAGGCATATTTCAGCAACCATATCTAAAACTGGTACAGAAAAGGGTACAAAGCCCATCATATTTACAGTTAGGCTGGTGGCAGTCCTGGAACGTGTGTGTTAGACCCAAAAAAAGAGTGCAAACTACTTTTGTGATAATGCATTGGAGAGATTTAGGGTCATGTTTATGGCAGCCAGTAAACATGAGGATCAAGTTAAGAAATTTTCGAAGTAGGAAATGAGCAGATACAAACAGCTCAAAACAATTCTTATGGATAGAACTGGTGTGAATCTACCAATTTCTGTGTAGTCATAATGAACAATAAAGGGAAAACTTGGTCATGTGCTACAAACTCACGTCTGCTGTTTGCTGTAAACATGACTCTAAATCTCTCTATTTTTAACTTATCTTTCTGCAGGTGGTTTTTGTACCAATGTGGATTGTTCTCTCCTTGCTTTGCTTGCTAGTATTATACTACATTATTTGGTCCATTATATTTGTACGGACAGCAGAAGTTCTTCCAGCACAACGCAGAGGACATGTCATGGTAGCAGTAGCTTCAGTTCTTCTTGTCATTCCTCTGCTCACATTTCAGGTGATTTAATTTTTGTCATCAGCAGGCAAACCTCCATGTGTGACCACCTCTTGTAAGCTACCACATACCATGAGCCAAAACACCTATTACCAGTAGCCAAAACCGAAAACACCAAAATTTTCCCAGTGAAATCAAGCTACAGTTAAAACTTTCATAAACAGCCACCTCTCATAAAGTGACCACGACCACTTTTTTTGGATAATGGCTTCAGAATTTTTCATTGTTTTTATCCTCCTGTAAGTGATCTCTTATATTAAAGGCATGGCTTGATCTCCTATTGTTATATGTGTTAGTCACTACTAAGAAAGTAGAGTAGGGGCAACATGAAACTGCATACAATAATTATATCATGACTTAGAAAATGCATGTAATGAACTCTCTCCCAAAATGTAGATGTGTCCAGGTCTCTTCTAGGAAGAGACGACCTGTGGGTCAATTCTCATAAGCGATCACTGAACCTTCGCATTTTGGGTGGTCGCTGTATTATTTTTCATTTTACTCATCTAAACCAAAGGGTGCCTAGGCTGTTGAACAATCTATAGCCTCTTTGTTGCCAAATGTAAGCCTTTTATGGAACTTAACCACTGGGATAAATTGAATAAAACTTGTACAAACTTGTATATAACAAGTGTAGCTATTGTCTTTGAAATCTAAAACATGAGTTATACTTGTAAAAGTTTTATTGAGGTTGGTCCCTTGTCTTAATGGCAAGTGAAGAATGACAAATGTCTAGTCTTGGAGCTGCATTATTGCCAGTTTTCCTCCTCTAGTTTACTCCATTTTAATAGGAAAAGACTAGCTAGCTCTAAGTTGCTTGATGTCAGGAATTCTGTTTGTCCTGTTGCCTTTCCTCCTCCCACTGTAAAAACAGGAAGGAGAGAAACCCCTGAAAAAATGGTTGGAAATCATAACAAAACATAGAATTCTAACTGTTCAACGTTTCCAGAAAATCTGGTTGGAAAGCAGATGGTACCTGACTTTTTTATTCATTCCAGAGGAAAGTTTTTCAGTAGCAACAGAACATGTAAAATTAAGATAGTCCTGTTTTTCCAGACAGAATGTTCCAGATGAAAATTCAAGTTCCATTTCTTCAAGCCATCTTTGATACTAGTTTCAGGCTTTTGCAGTGGTTTTTCGGTTTTAAAATGGAACTGATTTGTGCAATTTTGGTAAATGCAATTCTGAAACGAAATTTACCAGAGTCCTGAATTTTACTGACCATTTACCCAATCCATGAGAAAACTTGTTTGCCCATGTACACTGTATTGTAAACAACCAGAGTTTTCTAGTAATGACAGATTACTGTTTTGTTTACAGATTATCCTTTGTAACAGACTTGATGGCATTACACAGTACAAGTTTGTAGGAGTTGTAGCACCTCTTCAGATATCCCTGCTTAGTTTACTTGCAACATCTTTCTACCACAAAGGTGGCAACCACTGTAAGTTTGCCATAATATTTTGTTTTAGTTGATAGGCAGAATAAGATGTGTATCAGAGCTGTCATTAAGGGCCACTAACACCTGTTATGGCTGAGCTCACTTGTTGTTACAGGTGATCAATTAAGTAAAAAGCAAAAGGTGGCAGTGTAAATTTTCGTGAGATGTTTTCAGGGTGAATCTTCGTTTGCTACAGCTGCTTCAAAACTTGATTACAGCCCTGTCTATAAAATTCCCAGTTACTATTTTTTCTGGTATTCTTTCTTATTTTAAGAGGCCAGGTTCCAATTGAGGGGGGGGTGGGTATGCTGTCACTTTGCTGGTCATTTCTAAGACTGCCTGTCACCTGGTAGGTTAGAGACAATGTCGCTGTTGCATTTTGGCTTGGACGAAAATGTGGCTGTCGGTAATAAGCACAAATTTTTGTGATACTCAATTAATTGGAATTTATGGCAGATATAGCACTTGGAAAGAATTGATTTCTATCAAACTTTCTCCCCTTAAGGGACTGTTCTTGAACAATACCATAGTTAGAAAACACTCCAAAGAAGATAATGAAATGTTTGGAAATAACAGAAGAGAGTTTGTTATTTTGCTCGTTAAACAGCCAAAATGCAAAAAATGAATTGTCTCTGTCACATTTCTTTCTTCCTTTTCTGTCGATTTGTTAGTGCTTTCTGAGAGGATTGTTGACAGTTTTCAGGGCCATGTTACCTGTTGCTTCTACCCCTTGAAAGGCCTCACTTCAAAGCTTAGGCATTTTTTTTTAATTTGATGACTAAACTGCACTAGGATATATATATTATTCTCCAAAGGTCATGGACTAAATTGCAACACATTAATGTTTTAAAATACAACATTTATGTGGAGAGGTAGTGGGAAATGTACCAATAAAAACTTCTACATTATTTGGTATTATCCATATTAACACAATTCATTTTTTTAATATACAAAAATGTTCCAGCTCTTGAAAGTTCAATATGCATCTTGCAATAGGGAGCTTTATAAGCAAAAAGGACAGTGACGGCAGTGAGAATGGCAAAAAAAAGCAATGTTCAGGTTTAAAGTTTAACAACAACTTTTCTTCACCAAAAGAAAAAACAATTAACAAACAAACATCAAGAATTTTTTTTTTTGACAGCTTGGCCAAAAGAAAAACAAACAAACAAAGCAGAAAAACAAGAATGTTTTACCTTTCTGGGACACCACAACAGCCAACATTTTGCCTTAATTACAGCATACATTTCTTTGCCATTGCTGCACATTGTGAAATGTCCTTGCTAGTTTTACTCAGTTTTACTCACTCAAAGTTTATCTTTTCACAGGGTGGTTCGGAATAAGAAAGGACTTTTGTGATTTTCTCCTTGGAACATGTCCCTTTCTACAAGAGTATGGCAACATTTCATGTAAATTTTCAGAAAGTATCTTCTTAAGGCCACCTCCTGAGGAAACAGCAGTTGAACCACAGCGCAAGCCTGTAATGCATGAGTACCCAGCCAAATGTGTTGTGCCAGTGGTGTCTATTGAAATGCCTGACTAGTGGAAGAAAATACCGTCATTAAACATATTGTGAAAGAACAGTACATGTACCCTGTTTTGGATACATGAAATTGGCAACAAAAAAACTGACAGATCTATACAGAACAATGGAGACGTGACTCTATGAACTATGTGCAGCTTTCCGTCATACTTAGAACGGAGTTTGGCAATCCATCATCCAGTCAAAGTTTTACATAACGGAAGAGGCCCTCAAAAGATTAAGCAAGAAAGAAACTTTGCAAAGGAGAAAGGTGATTTGATTCACACTTCCTCTTGTGATTGGAGAAGGAGTGAAGGACTATATATGGTCCAATGCATAGGAGGAGTTCAGTTGCTCAAAAAACTTCATCTTTTCAACTTAAAGTTCACTGCTTTTTAACCAGGGGTCAATTAAATAAACTTTTACAAGTGTAAGTTACAAGTTCAGATAATTCTAAAACAATGGCCAGTGCTCTTGTAGATTACGGTGTACACTTCTAAAGGTTTCATTAATTGACCCCAGTATGATAAAACCATGAAGGATGTGATTAACTCTGACCCAAGAACTCAGGGCACCCTCTAAAGTAAGAACTGACGGATCAGAAAATGAAATTGGTTTTTCTACAGAGTTTTCTCTAGAAAACCTATCACTGCTGTTCCAACTAATGGTCAGTACTATCAGTGAAGGTGTTCTGCATTATTATTGTTCATCCTTCTAAAGAAGCATTGACCTGCTAGACACTTGTGATTTATATTTTGCACAAGTTAAAGGAACAGTCAATTCACATGAGAATTAGTAATTTGTAAATCTGTGATTGAAGCAAACCACATAAGTAGGACTAATTTCTTTTAGGCTTGCTTCACTTAGTTGCCAACTCATTCTTGTAGCTCTGTTACAAACAAGGTGTTTCTTATAAAAGTGGGGTATTTATACAAGTTTTGTCTTGACAGGATAGCAACATATTTATTGGGAAAAAAGTGTACAATGCTTGTTTTATTTACCATGTCACTTCTGTTCTGATATACTGTTTCTGGTAAAATACAACAACCATGTACACTTAATATGTTTCAGTAACATTGACTTGTACCTTAACTAGCTACTATGATGTGATATCCCTATATCCTATTGACTGGCTTTTTTCTGATAACAAATTTTCATTAACTTTCAGAAAATATTTCTGGTGTTCTAAGATTTTGTGGCCAGAAAACAGTAATAACTGTACTTGTCAATCAAGAGTGGTAGAGACAGGGCTTGAAAAACACCTTGAATTCAGGATTGTCCTTCAAACAAGCCATTCTCATAAATGTTGCTTGCCACAGTTCATTGAATGTGTCTTAGATTACATCTAAGGCCCCATTTATTTGGAGAAAAGTGTCCCTTGGAATGAGGATCACCCTCCCAGCTGAGTCAACTTTAGTGAGCATTTATATGAGAAAAGAGTTAATCCCTAATATATTTATTGCCCAAGCCAAGAGCTGACAACAGTGCTCATGCATACAATATTACTCTAATTCTCTCATCTTCACCGGGTTAGCCAAAAAATTTACATGGAGAAAAGTTGGCCCAGTTCTAGGATGGTGACCTACCACTGAAAAAGCCAAGCCCCTTTTTGTTTCTCATGGAAAACATTTTGTCAAGTATCGTTAGAAATGCATCAAATTGAAAAGTTGGCTTCCGCAGAGTAGCTTGGGTAAGCAAATGACAAAATGTCTCCATATAATTGGGGGCCTTAGTTAGAAGACCATTGATTTTTGTGATTTTTGTCTGGTCCTTGACTATTGAACCAGTGAGCATGAGAAGTTACTTGTCACGGAGGAAAATCTAGTTACACAGATGACTGGACATACCCGAAAATTCCGAAAATAAGCCCCGGGGCTTATATTTTTCAAAGGCCCTTTTTGAGGGGCTTATTTTTGGAGGGGCTTATATTCGGAGGGGCTTATCTACGGAGGGAAATTTTGCGTTTCAAAATCAATTTTACGGTAGCCCCTGGAGGGTCTAAAATGTGAAGTCATTACAAACATACAAATTAAACATATGCAGTAAAGATTTTGAAAACACAGTAGAACCCCGGTAACTCGAACTCTGAAGGAAAACAAAAAAACAGTTCGAGCTAGTGGGGAATTCTAGTTATTGGGGTAAATTTCTGTGAAAAGTTTGATCAAGGGAAGTAATAGAAACTTTGTTCAAGTTAGTGGGGAATTCGAGTTCTCCTAGATCGAGTTATCAAGGTTCTACTGTACCCAGTACTTACAAACAAATATTGTAAATGAAAAAGCCTACATTTTGTTTAACACTAATAGTCATTATTTTATCCTCTAAAATTTAATATAAATGTAAATATATAAGAATGCATGCTTACAGTTTAGATCATGATTGTAAATATTATTTCGTGTCAATGTTTCATTTGCTCTTATAAGATTCTTAAATTATCAAAAAGAGTATTATTTTTTTTTTTGCAATACTTTCTTAACAAAGTTATCTAATAAACAAACTTTGAGGATGTTTGAGAAAGTTTCAACCATTTTACTTGCCATCTTTTTAAGGGGACTTAAAACTGTATATTTTTTGTAAAATTTTATGTAGTAGAAAAACCAATCGTGTGACCATTCAAATGGTACCTTTTTTCAAGAGAATTCCTCGAGAATTCAAGTGATCTCCAAACAGAATTAGTTGAGAAAATTTGATACGATCAAAGCCTTTTTCTTTTGGTGATCATTATTTTTATCAATTCTCAAAAGATTCTCTCTCTTGATTATATTTATGGATATTGTTAGGAGAAATTGATGTTGGTATAAACTCTTGGGACTAAAAGGATTAACAGACTCCCTCATAAGCAGACGTTTCTACTGCTGCCTTGACAAGACCCTCTTTAAACCGCTTCTTACAAAAAGCATTCCTATAGGTGGCCAGTTCCAGTTGCAGACACTATTTTCTGCTTCCAGAGGGTGAGAGAAGCTTGACTGTACACCATTTATAAGCACAAGTGATAGAACTACTGTAATTAGGAACTACTTCACCACATGTTAAGTTCGCCTACATAGTACTCACACTATTAGGTACTTAGGTGTCTATTTTTTTTCCTGTTTATTTTAGTCAACAGTTCAGTTTTCCTTAGAACAACACCATCAGGACCAAAATTAATGGCAATTTAACGAAGACATGTTGTCCAATTTACAAATGTAGCTATTATTTTCAAACTCTAAAACAGTAGCTACACTATTAATAAATAATTGACCCTTGAGTGGTACTACTGTTCAATCTCTATTGAAGAGTGTTTTCCATCCACGGGATAAAAATGACAGTGGAAGAAAAAAAACTAATGAAATTTGTCTGCTGGATAGTGATTTATCCGGAGGGTAGTGCTATCCAACATTTGAACAACCGGAGCCTGGACTTGCAATTCAGAGGCCCTGAGTTCAAGTCCTGCTCTGACCACTAACTGGATTTGTTCATGGTAGTACTGAGTTCAAATCCTCGGCCATGCTTGTAAATAGCCAGCTGGTTTGCCTCTGGACAGTTGGGATTCTTAACCCTGTTAAGTTCGATTTGAATTATTTGTTTCAGATAGTTGCTTGGCCCCACTAGCATTAGTGCTATAAATACTGCCGAGGGTAAATAACGGAATTATTTTATTAATAATAGGACAGGGGCGAACTCTTTGACCTTTCAGAGAGAGTTCACTCTAAAAGGTACTTATAAATAACTATTACTCTTAATTACAGCAGGACAAATATATTACTGGTCTGGGATTTAAGTACTGATATCTGCTGCTAAAGCATAGATTTATTTATAATAGCAAAACCTAAAGTTACTAGATAGTAATCGTTTTATTGTGGCACTTTCCTACATCAATTGATGAGCTCTGGATTAGTGCTCCCCAGGGCACTGATACAGAATGCCAACATGGAGACAATATAGCAACTCATCATTTTGTTTAAGCTCGGCATTTATTAACATGTTGCAGAGTTGTGACCCTGTTGTTCCACAACATCTCTACTTATGTGCTCTGGATTGATACTCCTCATGGGAACTGATACAGAATGCCAACATGGTGAAAATATGGCAACTCAGGGTTTGGCTAAGCTTGGTATCTAACATGCAGAGTTGTGACACCATGGGTCCATAATTGCCCTTCATGATGTGCTCTGGATTGATGCTTCCCAGGGCACTGATATGGAATGCCAATGTGGTGACAATATGGCAAATCAATGTTTGGGTATTCAACAGTTGCAGAGTTGTGACTCTGATGTTGCACAACATCCCTGCTTGATGTGCTCTGGATTGATACTCCTCATGGGCACTGATACAGAATGCCAACGTGAAAACATGATGGCAACTGAACCTTTGCCTTAAGATCAAGGTATTTAAAAGTTGCAGAGTTACAACTCAGTTATTCCATAACTTTTGTACTTGATGTTACAAGGATTGATGCTCCCTACAGTCAAGAAGACTGAATGCCAACGTGGTGGCAATATGGCAACTCAAAGTTTGCCTAAGCTTGATTTTAACCTGTTGCAGAGTTGTAATAAATTCTGTTGTTCCACATCAGATCCCTGCTAGTTGTGCTCTGGATTGATGCTTCCTATTATCACTGACAAGGAATACCACCATGGTGACAATGGCCACTATGTTTGTTTAAGCTTTTTCCATCACTGGTGGTGGTGCTACAACTTCTTCTGCCACCATAAAATCCTCCTAGATGAAAAATATATTAAGCAGTTATTTAAAATAAGTTGAAAGAGACTTTGAATTGCTGCAATAGGTGTGAAAATTGGCTGCAATGTGCTTATTATTAACTAGAACTAGATTAATCTTGGTTAATCAACTCCTATAAGTCTCCTTGTCAAGGAATTTTGATGGAATATAGCTTAAAAGTGTCTTCATTGGTTGCAAACATCTAATCATATAATACATGTACAGTAAGTGAGAAAAAATATAATAATCCCCATGCGAATACCAGTAGTCTTGAATAGGATTGTTGATGACACTAGCAATGAAGTTTTAAAAAACCAGTACAAAAGTCATCACCTTCAACTCTAATGAACACTAATAGGCAGAGCCCACAAATCAATCCATGTGTCAGCCGTGTATCAGCTAATGTGTTGGTTAATACACATACAGCATATTGGCCAACACATGGTCTTTTCTTGGTCAGTATGCTGGTCAACACTTGGTCAATACTGCTACCATGTATTGATATTTTCATTTGCATGGAATGCCACCACTGGGGCGAGCGGAGTCTTTGAACAAATTACTTGCATGGACTCAAGTTCATTAAGAATATTGCTAGGCAGGATAGGCAGACATTTGCCACGGGTCAAAGTGCCTTCAAAACTGCTGCCTTGGCAACAGAAATGACAAAAAATTGAGTAGACAGCAAATATAACTCCAGAAGAAGAATATGCTACATATCAATATATAGTATCGGCCGAATGTTGATGGCCTATTGAGCGATATGTCGACTGATTATTAGTCAAATACTGACAAACACTATCAGTCAGCTTATACTTCGATATGCGAGTGACGTGCAGACAATCTGTCGGTTGACATATCACCTAACACGCAGCTGACTCATGTTCACGTATATTGACCAATAGTTGCCTTTTGTCTTTCCATAAATTGTGCGTGCATATAATAATAATAATAAAGGTCTATATTGTTTTGTAAGCAAAAAGACATGCTAAAAACCAAGAACACTTACATTAAAAACAGCAGAAAGAACTACAAGCGTTAAAAAATTCCACGTAGAAGTATTGAATAACATTCAATATCCATATTACATTAAAGAGCTACCCTATATTTGAAAAATAGCCAATAAGCTATTAAAAAAACACTACTTTTAAAATGCTGGGTATTAACCCTGGGGAGTTGACTGCTAGGAATTCCAAGGCATACTGAACTCTCTTTCATTTTGGGGACCAAAGGGTACAAAGGATGGCCAGGCATACTGGAGATCTTCTTGAAAAGTGAGTGATCTACCTCTCCAACACATCATTATGGCAATTTGGTACAAAACATATTTGCGTTTAAAGCAGCGCTGAAGAAAATTCTGGACCGTTGTTAATTCAGGTGTCGAGGAGGCATATAAAGGAAGACCGTACGTTAGTTGTGGTAAAACAATTGATCTATAATTAGGTAAACTACATCTGGTTGATGGTATCCCGCTTTACGTAAAAATCTTATCACATAAAAACACTCATTGGCCTCCTGCAGTTTAACCTTAATATGCTCACTAAATCTGTGATTATTTTGTAGGGTAAGCCCTAAAACTTTTAAACAAGAAACGTGCGTTATATTGTTCACAGGGTCTCTATCATGAGCAACCTTCTTGCAAAGTATCAGTTCATATAAACTTACATGTACACGTGTATTGCACCCAAACTTACAAAATGCCCGGGACAAAATGTTTCCTGGTATAAGTTCAAACCATAACAAGTATAAACAAAACAAAACATGCGTTAGAAAACTCTTTACTGGGTTAATCATGTATCTACCCTCTCAAAATAAAGAACATTGTATTGTATTGTATTGTAAACAAACAACTAACCATATCATAGATGACTCGCACAATTAATGAACAACTCGGGCACCGAGCTACATCCTCCCCGTTTTCCAACTCCTCCTATGACGAAAACGGCAGTAATTTTAATGTGGTTTAAAAGATTACGTTAGTTAATTACCCATACGGGAGAAGAAAGGCTTTATTTAATATCAGTTTAATCTTTGTAAACTCAAGCTCATGGAAGACACTTTACCTTTGTGATCTGAAACTGATCGCCACAGGGGCAAGGATAGAAATATGTCTCAGACTCCTCGTCGTATTCAAAGTCCTCTATTTCTACTTCATCGTGGAATACAGCCATAGCTTCTCTCTGAAATTTTCAGTAAAACTGGTCGTAAAAATGTGAAAGGCGAACGGTTATTCTTTCATGTTACGCTTACGCCAAATAGACCTAGTGTTTCATATAACAGTAATAGAATGTCCATTCTCCTGTATACCCATGTATACCCTGTATACCCTGTATACCCATGTATACCCTGTATACCCATGTATACCTTGTATACCCTGTATACCCATGTATACCTTGTATACCTTGTATACCCTGTATACCCTGTGTATACCCATGTATACCCATGTACTCCCAGTATACCCTGTATACCCTGTATACCCATGTATACCCTGTATACGCTGTATACCCATGTATACCCTGTATACCCATGTATACCTTGTATACCTTGTATACCCTGTATACCCTGTATACCCATGTATACCCATGTACTCCCAGTATACCCTGTATACCCTGTATACCCTGTATACCCATGTATACCCTGTATACCCTGTATACCCATGTATACCCTGTATACCCATGTATACCTTGTATACCTTGTATACCCTGTATACCCTGTATACCCATGTATACCCATGTACTCCCAGTATACCCTGCATACCCTGTATACCCTGTATACCCATGTATACCCTGTATACCCTGTATACCCATGTATACCCTGTATACCCATGTATACCTTGTATACCTTGTATACCCTGTATACCCTGTATACCCATGTATACCCATGTACTCCCAGTATACCCTGTATACCCTGTATACCAACGTATACCCTGTATACCCTGTATACCCATGTATACCCTGTATACCCATGTATACCTTGTATACCTTGTATACCCTGTATACCCTGTATACCCATGTATACCCATGTACTCCCAGTATACCCTGTATACCCTGTATACCCTGTATACCCATGTATACCCATGTACTCCCAGTATACCCTGTATACCCTGTATACCCATGTATACCTTGTATACCTTGTATACCCTGTATACCCTGTATACCCTGTATACCCATGTATACCCATGTACTCCCAGTATACCCTGTATACCCTGTATACCCATGTATACCCATGTACTCCCAGTATACCCTGTATACCCTGTATACCCATGTATACCCTGTACACCCATGTATACCTTGTATACCCTGTATACCCTGTATACCCTGTATACCCATGTATACCCATGTACTCCCAGTATACCCTGTATACCCTGTATACCCATGTATACCCATGTACTCCCAGTATACTTTGTATACCCATGTACTCCCAGTATACCCTGTATACCCTGTATACCCTGTATACCCTGTATACCCTGTATACCCTGTATACCCTGTATACCCTGTATGCCCTGTATATCCTGTATGCCCATGTATACCCTGTATACCCATGTATACCTTGTATACCTTGTATACCCTGTATACCCTGTATACCCATGTACTCCCAGTATACCCTGTATACCCATGTATACCCTGTATACCTTGTATACCTTGTATACTCTGTATACCATGTATACCCTATATACCTGTATACCCTGTATACCCTGTATACCCATGTATACCCTGTATACCCTGTATACCCATGTATACCCATGTATACCCCTGTATACCCTGTATACCCTGTATACCCTGTATACCCCAGTATACCCTGTATACCCTGTATACCCTGTATGCCCATGTATACCCATATATACCCTGTATACCCTGTATACCCATGTATACCCTGTATACCCAGTATACCCTGTATACCCTGTATACCCATGTATACCCCTGTATACCCATGTATACCCTGTATATGTACCCCCTGTATACCCTGTATACCCTGTATACCCATGTATACCCATGTATACCCTGTATACCCTGTATACCCATGTATACCCATGTATACCCTGTATACCCTGTATACCCTGTATACCCTGTATACCCATGTATACCCCTGTATACCCTGTATGTGTATACCCTGTATACCCTGTATACCCATGTATACCCTGTATGTATGCCCTGTATACCCCAGTATATGCCCTGTATACCCTGTATACCCATGTATACCCATGTATACCCCTGTATACCCTGTATACCCATGTATACCCTGTATACCCTGTATACCCCCTGTATACCCATGTATACCCATGTATACCCCTGTATACCCTGTATACCCTGTATACCCATGTATACCCATGTATACCAGTATATACCCTGTATACCCTGTATACCCTGTATACCCATGTATACCCTATGCCCATATACCCTGTATACCCTGTATACCCTGTATACCCTGTATACCCTGTATACCCATGTATACCCTGTATACCCTGTATACCCTGTATACCCATGTATACCCTGTATACCCATGTATACCCTGTATACCCTGTATACCCTGTATACCCTGTATACCCATGTATACCCTGTATCCCACCCCTGTATGTACCCTGTATACCCATGTATACCCTGTATACCAGTATGCCCTGTATACCCTGTATACCCCTGTATACCCTGTATACCCTGTATACCCTGTATACCCTGTATACCCATGTATACCCTGTATACCCTGTATACCCTGTATACCCTGTATGCCCTGTATACCCTGTATACCCATGTATACCCTGTATGTATACCCCCTGTGTATACCCATGTATACCCTGTATACCCATGTATACCCTGTATACCCTGTATACCCTGTATACCCTGTATACCCATGTATACCCATGTATGTATACCCTGTATACCCATGTATACCCTGTATACCCATGTATACCCTGTATACCCTGTGTATACCCTGTATACCCATGTATACCCTGTATACCCTGTATACCCTGTATACCCTGTATACCTATGTATACCCTGTATACCCATGTACCCCTGTATACCTATGTATACCCTGTATACCCATGTATGTATACCCTGTATACCCTGTATACCCTGTATGCCCATGTATACCCTGTATACCCATGTATACCCTGTATACCCTGTATACCCTGTATACCCTGTATACCCTGTATACCCTGTATACCCCCTGTATACCCTGTATACCCCTGTATACCCTGTATACCCTGTATACCCTGTATACCCTGTGTATACCCTGTATTGTATGTATATACCCTGTATACCCTGTATACCCTGTATACCTGTATACCCCCTGTATGTATACCCTGTATACCCATGTATTGTCTGTATATACCCTGTATACCCTGTATACCCTGTATACCCTGTATACCCTGTATACCCTGTATACCCTGTATACCCTGTATACCCTGTATACTGATGTATACCCTGTATACCCTGTATACCCTGTATACCCTGTATACCGATGTATACCCTGTAGATCCTGTATACCCTGTATACTCATGTATACCCTGTATACCTTGTATACCCTGTATACCCATGTATACCTTGTATACTCATGTATACCCTGTATACCCTGTATACCCTGCATTTCTTGTATACCCATGTATACTTATGTACTCCCTGTATATCCATGTATACACTGTATACCCTGTGTGCCCGGTATACCCTGTCTACCCTTTAGTAAAAAAAATCATGTTTGATATACAAAATAAATCTTTTATGTAAACAATTTAATATTGAAAATAAATCAGTTACTTTTATCTAAAACCCTTCTGCTTTCCTACAGTTTGTCAGTACATTTTAAAAACCACCAGGTCAATCTGATAAGTGCAAACAAAAAAACTAAACTTCTACTCCACCTATACAAACGAAAAAGTACTCTGAATTCATTTAACATATCAGGAAGCCTGAACATAAACGCATCGCCTTCAAATTTAAGATAGGAAATCACAAATCTGAAAGATTTACAATCCGCAAAACTCCCGAAGACCTAAGAATTTGTGATCACTGCAGTCTAAATTGTTGAAAATTAAATACACCTATTATTTCATTGGTCCTTAAAAAGTCTCTTTTCACTAAAATGAATGACGAAATACGTTATTTACAAATTAAAATACTAATGATAAAATCTGTTTTCTTTTTAATATTAATACTGATTCGTACATGCGCAAGCGTACTGCTACCTTCGTCTTCCAATCATTTGAGAGACGAAAGAAGAATAATGATAATAATAATCGATAAATTATCCCATTCTATTATATCTGTAACTCCTTTGCAATCTTCGTCTTGATATTATTGTATTTCAGTGTACCGGTAACACCATGTTAAAAAATATATAGTAATACTAAATAAACTTGTTGTTGTTGTTGTTGTATTCTTTGTATTTCCTTTATCTTTCCATTTTCAAGAGCAATATCCTATAAATGCGATATCACAGCGACGTCAGTCATTAAATTGACAGATGATGACAATAGAGGGTCATTTGATAAGGTAGAATTCGTAGCCCTTTAATTATTGCTATCATATCATTTTATTTAATTCTACTCATGTTTCTAGAAAATTTATTTTAATTAGGGAAATGATCGCCAGGGTGAAATTGTCGAAGAATGTGTTGGGATTTAATTTTAGGGATATTTATCCATTTGTCGTTTTATTGTTGTTTTGGTTCAGTAGTATTTTAAATGAATAAGATCATTAAACAACATCGATCTAATAGTTAGCATTTCATCATCGATTTGCATATATTTACGTTTTACTAACATTTCAACGTACTTCATAATGTTTTATCCTCAACGAACTATTTCATTAAGGAGGCTGACGACCACCACACCTTTTAGCCTAAAATTGAATGACGAATAGTTTCAAAACCCTCGTTTGCTGTGTTAGCAAGTTTTTAAGACTAAAAGGCTCTTCATATTCAATTCTACTTTCTAAGCCAAACTTTTCTTATTTCCTCAACCTTCAGTAAACTAGAATTTCAAACTGTAGTTTGGCATAAATTTTCAACCTAGCGAGTTGCATCTTGTTCGGAATCTTGTATTGTATTCAACTGTTCAGGACTTTTCAATTTCTCAAATTTTTGCACGAACAAAGAAACCGTACTTAATTCCACATTCTTGTATTTTTTGGGTTCGGTGCAGCTGCAAGGCGCCTACTTTTCGCCTAAACGACGGTATTTGTCTGTGGGAACATTCTCTCTATCGTCTGCACTAAATAGAGCTCAGCTGAGAGCTGCAGTGCTTGTAAACAC